CCTTTCGCGGATACGGAGAATTTGACTTGTAAACGACGGTCTAAAAGTTAAAAAAAGAAAAAAGAATTAAAAGTTCCCTAGGGGTCCGAAAACGGTCTTCCCGACTTTTCTTGCCGCGCAAATGCATGGATCTGTTGTCTAAAATCGCAATTGGCTGCTGTGCAAAGTTTCAGGTCAATCTAAGCTGCGGCGGCGCATGGGAAAGCGCGGACGTGAGGGGGCGCGTCTGACTGACGCTCATACGAATTTTGAATAAAAAAATCGCAAGTTAATTTGGCGTTAATTTGGTGACTTAGCGCAACTGGTCTATTTGCGGTTACGACTGACCGGAAAGGAGTGACCGGAAAATACCGTTTTGCGTTTTGCGTTCTACTGTATACAAAGGTTTTTCACCCACCGCTCGATTTCAACATTTGATCGCATCTCCTTTCAACTGACCGGAGAACTGTTTTTGTATGGAACGACCCTGAGTGTATGAGGCTGGTTAGGGTAAAAGTGACCGGAGGCGTGTCCAGGTCGAAAGGTGACAGTTGGGACGACTGACACCCAATCAAGATCGGATTTGAGGTTGTCAGGGTGAGCTGAACCTGTCGCGGTTTCAAAAATACAATTTTCGCGCGCAAAGTTTACAGTACACGTACGTGTACACGTACACGTACGCTGTACAGCGAGTACGTGTACGGCGCCGTACGAGTACGTGCGAAAAAACGGGGTCAGGGCTCTTCTAACCAGCCTCGTACCTACACGTACACGTACACGTAGGTCCCTACGTGTACCCGTACTAGGGCTATGCGTTCGCGGGTCGCCCTCATGGAAAAAATGTCCAGGGTCGCCAGTTTCAAACTAGTCGGGTAAAATAAAACGTTGAAACCGCGTCCTCCCGGTGGGGGAATTTTCATCGCATTCTCATCGGTGATTATTTTTCAGCTTAAGAGAAAACACGATTGTGACACCACCCCGAGCTCCTTCTCGACGCGTTTATAGCCCCTCTTCGTCGGAGAGACTCGATAAGGTTATAATCCGTACATTTACACACAATTTATTCCAGGAACCAGTCGCTTTTATCTTTTGCGTGCGTGCGTGGCGGCTGCCGCCGGCCACCTCCTTTGCCTCCGTTCTTCGTTCGATTTTCAGTTCCCTGTCGCCGCGGCATTCTTCTTATCCGCTTCCAATTTAAGAAGCTGTGCCTTCATCGCGGGGCCTACGTTTGCGTACGCGTCTCCTCCCACGTCCACCCCTGACGCGCTGGCGATGTACTCTGGAAGTTGATCGAAGTTCAAGTAACGATACGTATCTGCCGCGGTCGAGTCTAACCTTCTCGTGTAAGAGAGGTACTCCTCCGGGGTAGGCAGACGACCTAAGATCGCGGCAACCGCGGCGAGCTCCGCGCTCGCGAGGTACACGTTCGCGCCCTTGCCCAAGCGGTTCGGAAAGTTACGCGTGGACGTGGACACCACAGTAGATTTCTCCGCGACCCTGGCTTGATTCCCCATGCATAACGAGCACCCGGGCATTTCCGTACGTGCTCCGACGGCACCGTACACGCCGTAATATCCTTCCGACTTGAGTTGCGATTCGTCCATTTTCGTCGGAGGCGCGACCCACAGACGCGTCGGGAGTTGTTCGCCGTGTTCTTTCAGAAGTTTTCCCGCTGCGCGGAAGTGGCCAATGTTCGTCATGCAGCTCCCGATGAACACCTCATCGATTTTATCGCCAGTGACCTCCGATAACAACCGCGCATCGTCCGGATCGTTCGGCGCGCAAAGGATCGGCTCTCTGATTTCGTCCATGTCGATCTCGATCACCGTGTGGTACTTTGCATCGGGGTCTGCACGTAAAAGTATAGGAGAGGCGAGCCAAGATTGCATACCTGCGATTCGCCGCTCAAGCGTCCGTCGGTCGCCATACTCGTTCTTGATCATCCACTTCAGCATCGTAATGTTCGAGTTCAAGTACTCCGCAATCGGAGCTTCGTCTAAGCGAATCGTGCACCCGGCGGCAGATCGCTCCGCGGACGCGTCTGAGAGCTCAAACGCCTGTTCGCATTTCAGGTGCTCTAAACCCTCGATCTCAAGGATTCGACCGCTGAAGACGTTTGTTTTACCCTGTTTCGATACCGTGAGGTGCCCGGCTTGGATTGCGTAGTATGGAATCGCGTGCACCAAGTCCCGAAGCGTTATCCCGGGCTGCATAGTCCCTTTAAACCGTACAAGGACGGACTCAGGCATGTCCAAAGGAATGACCCCAGTCGCGGCTCCAAATGCGACGAGCCCGCTCCCCGCAGGAAACGAAATACCGATCGGAAACCGCGTGTGCGAGTCCCCGCCCGTGCCCACGGTGTCCGGCAATAGCATCCGGTTCAGCCACGAGTGGATCACGCCATCACCAGGTCGTAATGATACGCCTCCGCGGTTGCGAATGAAATCGGGTAACGTGTGGTGAGTGATAACGTCCACAGGTTTCGGGTACGCCGCAGTGTGACAAAACGATTGCATCACGAGATCCGCTGAGAAACCGAGGCATGCCAGGTCTTTCAGTTCATCCCGAGTCATCGGCCCGGTTGTATCTTGAGACCCGACTGTCGTCATCTTAGGCTCACAGTACGTCCCAGGGAGGATGCCCGCGTTATCGTCTAAGCCGCACGCCTTCCCGACCATCTTCTGCGCGAGTGTGAAGCCACCTTCGTGTGACGGCGGCACGGACGGCAAACGGAAGACATCCGATTTCGGTAGCCCGAGGCTCTCTCTCGCGCGCGTGGTCAGGCCGCGGCCGACGATGAGGTTTATCCGTCCACCCGCTCTGACTTCGTCTAGCAGGACGTCCGTTTTCAGCGAAAACGTGCACACGATTTCGTCCGTACCGTGACGTCTCGTGATACCTTCGTACGGGTACACATCGATCACATCCCCCATCTCGAGCTGGTCGACGGGCATCTCGATCGGGAGTGCGCCACTGGAATGTGATTAGTGGGGCGATACATCAGAAATTAACACTAGTTCTGTAATTGATGGACAGGGATTGCATACAGATACGGTTCGTGATAAGCGGTCGAGAGAAAAACGAACAGGACGCGCACCTGTCCTCCATGGTGTTGAAAAATATCGGCGCGATTTTAGCGCCGATGCACACGCCGCCCGTGCGTTTATTCGGGACGTTTGGGATGTCATCCCCCATGTACCACAGGACGCTGTTCGTCGCAGACTTTCGTGACGAGCCCGTGCCGACGACGTCCCCTACGTACGCAAGCGGGTGCCCTTTACGTTTCAAGTCTTCCATTTGCGCCCGCGCATCGGTGATGCCGTCGCGAGGGTTTTTCAGCATCGCGAGCGCGTGGAGAGGGATGTCGGGTCGGCTCCAGGCGTCCGGCGCGGGGGACAAGTCATCCGTGTTCGTCTCCCCGGACACTTTGAAAACCGTGACGGTGATTTTCTTTTGGACCTCTGGACGCGACGTGAACCACTCCGCGTTCGCCCACGACTCCATCACCTTCGTTAATCGATCGCGCGCGTGGAGAGATGCAATCGGTAAATTATTTCATGTACGGACGTGCGGTTTGAACAGTGCGCGCGAGGGGTGGGTCGCGTGGTCGCGGTGGGTCGCGTGGTGGTGTGAGTGATCGGAGAGAGAAGACATGACATGCGCGCACCTCTTGCGCGGGCGCGCTCCCGGCTTTCGCTTTCGCCTCGACGTCGTGAAACGCGTCGAACATCAAGAGCGTGCGCGATAGCGTCTTCACCGCGGTGTCCGCGAGATCTTCATCGTCCAACGCGCGAATCATCGGTTCAATATTGTAACCACCCTGCATCGTGCCCAAGATTTCGATCGCGCGGAAACGGTTTATCACAGGCGATCTCGTGTCTCCGGCAACGACGCTCGCGAGCCAGGACGCCTTGACGTACGCTGCCTCGTCCACCCCTGGGGGCACTCTATTGACGAAGAGATCCACGAGCTCTTTGGCATCCTCGCTCGGCGGGTTCTCAAGCTGCAAGACAAGCGCGGAGACTTGCTTCGCGTCGAGGGGTTTAGGCGCGATCCCGTATTCTTTTTCGCGGACCGCGCAGTGGTCTCGGTACTCGGCGAGGAACGTCGAAGCGGCGCGCGTTGCGATCGCGCACGCGTTTAGACTCACCACGTGAGCGTGCATCGTGGCGGGCGCGCATATGTGGATCGATCCCACAGAGGAGAACGCGGCGCGAGGGGCGATCCGCCGCGCGGACGCGTTAAACGCGCGCGAAGACGTCGCGGCCGGGAACGCGCCCACCGCGCGCGCACGAGAGGGCGCTGGGCCCGCGGAGGGGACGGATAGCAGGCGGATGAGCGCCCGTGCGCCTTGACCGTTCGCGCGGTTGATCATTTGACTCGCGGCACCCTGAGATCGAGGAGATTGGGGACCGATCGTGCGTGCGGTAAGAGAGACGAACGGAGGCGAGAGCGAGCGCGCGACGAGGACATAAAAAATAGTGCCTGTTGCCGCGCCGTTCGCGCCGTTCAAGCCGTTCGCAACGTCGCGTGCGGACAGCTCTGCGCGCGACGGCGTCGCTGATGTCGCGGGAAGGCGTGTGCACGCACCGATCCGGTTTCTTGCGATCCTCCTTCCTTTGAGCGAGCCAGCGGGGCGCGAGAGGGGGAATGCATTCAAGTTAAGGACGGAACGAAAAAGACGTGACGCTTCGCTTTTACTTCCACTTCCGTACGAAGGAAGGTACGAAAGTACGAAAGTACTTTCGTACGTGACTAACGCGTTATACGTGTACAGTACGTGAGTACGAAAGTACTTTCGTACGAAAGTACTTTCGTACTTTCGTACTTATTACGTACAGTATCTGATTACTGTACAAAAAGACTGAGCTCTATCCCATCCGGGCAAAACATGTGATCTAAATGCGAGCAGTACTACGTGTACAGCTGTACACGTATACTGTAGGGCTACACGTACACGTACTGTACTACGGCCTTTAAGCCCTGAATTAGCGTGATTGACGGAGCTTGAAGGGTTGAACCCTTCGGGTTCATTTCACCCTTAACTCTACAGTACGTGTACTGTACGTGTAGTTGTACAGTAGATATCGTTTATCAAGGAGTGGCCGGAAAAAACCGGTATGGGTTTTAGTAAGAGTACGAAGTACGAGTACGCCAAAATCAGCGCCTCCGCTGCACGTCGGTAGTTGGGAGAAGGGGGCCCGGCGCGGCAGGGTATTTAGAATGAAAAATACTTTCGTACGGAAGTTCGTGTACAACTTCAACGTTGTAGTGGTTTGAAAATGGTTTTCATCGGAAGAGTTCATCGTCAGGTCACGAAGCGCTTTTTTGCATATGAGCCTCCAAACGCATTTGATAGGCTGAAATTTTTGTAAGTAGGTCCGGAAAAACCCCTAATTCGAGACTCTGGACCCAACCCCCGCGCAAGTTCTGCGCTTCTGGCGTCGAAAGGTAGTACACGTACGTGTACGGAAGTAGATACCTTCGTATTCTACAAGTAGCCCTACAGTACGAGTACGTGTACAGCTGTAAACTACAAAAATGTACTTCCGGAAGTAACGCGTGTACAGTACGTGTACGTGTACGTGTACTTCCGGAATGTAAGTTGTTAACTTACTCACGTTGTACGAAAGTACAACGTTGTACCTTCGAAGGTAGCTAGCTACCTTGGTAGACTATTTTTTATCATTATCAAGACTATGGAAGTATAGATACGGAAGTACGGAAGTACAACTACGGAAGTACTTTCGTACTTTGTACTTTCGAGAAAGTATTTCGTTCAGTACTTCCGGAAGTACAACGTACCTTCGAAGCAAGGTGCGTGTTCATGTACTTCCGGAAGTACAAGGATAGAATACAGTACGTTGTACTTTCGAAAGTACATAATAAAAGTGGAAGTATTTGCATATATCACAGTAAGTTGTACAAATTGAACGCGCACACATGTTTTTAAGCTCCGGCAGTTCACGCTAATTCGCGGCTTAAAGAGCGTAGGCCTGTACAACGTTGTACGTGTACGGAAGTACGAAGGTACGAAGGTACGAAAGTACCACCGTACAATGTTAAAGTGCCGCGTTGTACAACTACACGTGTGTCCCTATGCGTACATCGTTAGTTGTACAGATGTACACCGCGTTCACTAGACTAAGTTGTACTGAAGTACGGAAGTAGTCTGGAGCTTCCTGAGCAAGAACTCGTTGTCCAAGTCAAAAGTTCAGTCGGAGACCCAAGGAAAATTAAAAAGTTCTGTCACTTGAAATTTTTGAGGCGCATCTTCAGAGAAACGTCTGAATGTCTCGTTACGATGGCGCGATAACCGTCTTTAGTCCGGATGGCCACTTGTTTCAGGTCTTGTTTATTTTTTTGACTCTCTCTAGATCTCTCACCAGATTTATCTCGTTGACTAAACGCGCATTATTTTGCATAGGTCGAATATGCATTGGAAGCAGTGAGAAAGGGTGCCCTTGCGGTTGGCGTCCGTGGCAAGGATACTGTTGTCCTTGGCGTTGAGAAAAAGTCGTTGGCTAAACTTCAGGACCCACGCTCAATGAAAAAGATTCAGTTGTTGGACGAACACGTTTGCGTGGCCTTTGCTGGATTAACTGCCGATGCGCGCATCCTCATAAATAGAGCGCGTCTAGAGGCTCAAAATCACAGGCTGACGCTCGAAGATGCTGTCTCGGTGGAATATATCACTCGCTACATAGGTGGTGTGCAACAAAAGTATACACAAAGCGGCGGTGTTCGCCCGTTTGGACTTTCAACCCTGATAACTGGTGTATCCCCGGAAGGTAAACCGCAGCTCTTTTACACGGATCCTTCTGGAACATTTTCAGAATGGAAGGCAAATGCCACTGGTCGTAATTCCAAGGCCTTACGTGAATGGTTAGAAAAGAATTACAGCGAGACTTCTGACGTGGAGACAGTTAAACTAACACTGCGGGCCCTCCTTGAGCTTGTTGAGCCAAGCAGTAAGAATATCGAAATAGTAGTTGTTTCAAAGAGTGGGATTAAAACCATCTCAAACGATGTCATTGACACATTTGTGCGCACGATTGAGGAGGAGAAGGCGGCCGCAGACAAGGCAAAGAAGGAAAACGCGCAGACAGTTGCACAAGAAGTTTAGGCTGTTTTGGTCCTTGGAAAGTTCCACTCGGTTGATTTGTCCGATAAATAATATAACAATTTTCAAGAACATGGGCTCTTAGGGCCGAATGCGAACCTCACTGCTGTTTGGATTATCGCACGTAGTGAGCAAAAGTTTAGGTTGTGTGCCACCACATATTAATTTGTGCTGTCCAGAAAAATAGCTTTACTCCTGTTATTTTGCTGGCCTCAACAAGATAAATGCAATTGAATCTACTGCCATCGTGAAATCCTTCACTACACTCGATCATTCAAAGGTGAACTCCTCAGCACAGACAGTGAATGCCAACCCACTCGAGCAAACCTCCAAACACAATGCAGACACAGTCAACTCTCATTTTGTAACAACTCTGTACAGAAAACATATCAAAATCGTCAAAAGACGTTCCTCTGATACAATGGTCAGCTGGCTACATGTTGGCTTCTTCGCAAGCGTCGATCCATTCACTGTAAACATCGATAGGTTCGCTTAGATGTGTGATCTCAGAGGTAAACTTCTGTCCACAAATGGTACACAAAACAAGTCCTTTCTCTGTGAGGTGGTCCATTTTGGCTATCACAGCCTTGTCATGATTACAAAATGGGCATGTAAACATTGTATCAATCTTAGGGGCGACCTTTTTTGGTGGGGGTTTACTGGACTTCCGTTTTCCCTGTAAGTTTCGTTTGTCGGATAAGAAGAAAACTAAGTTGTTAGCGTTCGAGACAGAAAAATAACTTCAGAGTTCGGGACTAACCATTCTGAAAATATTATTCTATACTTCCTATCGAGTCTTCCTAGAACATCAGGGCTTAGTGGCGTTGTTAGGATACGATGATGTGCACCGATCAGTGCTGCTGCACTCTAAACCGTTCGGCTTCCGTTATCGCTACAACGTTCGTTGCAGTCTACGCGTATCTGCACGCTAGTGTACTCGTGTACTGTACCTTCGTACGTGTACAGTACGTGTACTGTATTTATCTTCGAAGGATAATCATGCAACGTATCATATGATATCATAGTCTAGCTAGAAGTCTGTACATGTACACGTGTAGTAGATCTGATTACAAAAAGACTGAACTCTAACCCATCCGGGCAAAACATGTGATCTAAATGCGAGCAGACTACACTACGAACAATCCTCTCACGTAGCAAGCAACCCCGCGACGGGATTCATGAAACCCGTGTGAGCCTCACGAGCGCACGGAGCCGGGGCGTCGCAAGCTGTGTCGGGCTCCATAAATAGAATTTGCGCTGCGTGGAAGTTTTCAGAGTCACGTGCGGTTCTGAGCGCGTACGAGATGGGCGCGCCAGCGATGCGGTCCCCGATGGCGGATACGAGCGCGACGGAGATGTGGCCCATGAAGTCTTTTGAGATGTGGCCCTAGAAGTCTACGTGTACCTTCGAAGATAGAATACTTCCGTACGGAAGTACTTCCGGGAAGTACACGTACACGTACTTTCGAAAGTACTTTCGTACTTATTTCGTACTTTCGTACTTTCGAAAGTACGGAAGTAAAAATCAATGTCTCGCGCTGTAATCTCGGATTCGTAGCTTTTATGTACAAAATCTCGTGTATGCAAATCAGTCTCACTCAAAAAAAATATGTACACGGTTCATCGGCTTGAACCCGAGCTTGATCTATTATGATATTTTCGTACGAAAATAATACTTGTACGAAAATAATACTTGCGAAAGTACTTTCGAAAGTACGAAAGTACTGTACTTTCGAAGGTACCTTCGTACACGACTACACGTATTTCCGTAGGGCCTACTTCCGTATGTAGCCCTATTTTAAGAATATTTATTCCATCATACTGTAGTCTGCTAGCTACTGTAGGGCTAAGTTAACTAATGTATGCGTATCAGTTGCGTATCTACAGTATCATTACTTCCGTACCTTCGAAGGTACACGGCTTCACACTACACGCGTACACGGTACACGTACGAAGTACGGCTTTCGTATCTTCATAATAGTAGTCTCGAGACTTCGCGCGTACCATCGAAGCAGAAGCGGCATCGACGCGAGGACGCAGACGACGACGGCGCGCGCGGAGACGACGACGCGCGGGGAGGGCGCGAGCGCGGCGCCGACACCGCGGTCGCCGCGGCCGCGCGGGGGAGTGAACAGGCTCCGCATCGAAGTATCTACCAGGGGAGAACTTACTAAACTTTCGACAATAAGTATAAATACTTTCGTACATGACTGCCGGAAAAAAAAGGTAAATAAATAAGTATTTCAAAGTACGCGTACTGCAGTTTTAACTCACAATCGACGGTCTAATTTCGCTCGACCCGCAAAAGTCACCGCCTTCGGCGTGTAAATAAATTAAATACTTTCGAAAAACTAAGTTGACTAACTTACTCATTTATTTACGAAGGTATTTATTTACTATTAAAAGTTTATCCCCTGGTATTCTATCTACTACGAAGGTATCTTCGTACATACGTACGTACTTCCGTATTACATCTATTTCCATAAAACTACAGTATGATAGCCATGGACTACCTTCGTACAAGCTTGTACGAAAGTACGAAAGTACTTTCGTACGAAAGTACGAAAGTACCTTCGAAGGTACAGTAATACTATCTACGAAGGTACGTACAGTATCTAACTTAGCTTTTTTCGAAGGTACTGTACTGTACCTTCGAAGGTACAGTATCTACGAAGGTACAGTATCTACGAAGGTACACGTGTACAGTATCTAACTTAGCTATTTTCGAAGGTACCTTCGAAGGTACGAAAGTACCTTCGAAGGTACTTTCGAAAGTACTTTCGTACAACGTACCTTCGAAGGTACCTTCGTAGCTAGCTAGCTAGTGGCTATCAGCGTAAGGATAACAACTTATTGTTAAGGTCACGCTCCGCTAATTGAATTTCCCGTGCCAAAAGTACGAATTTTGTGTGCGTATTTTGTCTAAATCGCAAAAAACGTACTTTTGTGCGCGCCCACGCTCCGTCGCGGCGTCGATCAACTTGAAACTTCGGCGCGCTCATCCTTTTATATCCTTTCTAAGCTCATATCCTTTCGCTGATAGCCACTAGAGCTAGCTACCTTCGTAGACGAGTCTACTGTACGTGTAGCTATGACTAGTTTGACTACGTGTAGCTTTTTTAGCCCTAGCCATAGACGAGTTGCGCTAAGTCACCAAATTTATAACGCCGAATTAATTTGCGAATCCAAATTCGTATGAGCGTCAGGTAGACGCGCCCCCTCACGTCCGCGCTTCCCCATGCGCCGTCGCAGCTTGGATTGACCTGACATTTTACAGAGCAGCCATTTGCGATTTTAGACAACAGATACGTGCATTTGCGCGGCGGGAAAAAGACGGGAATATAGTTTTCGGACCCCTAGTACGAAGGTAGCTAGTAGCTAGAGGTATCTATCTACCTGTAGCTACAACGTTGTAGTCTAGCTAGGGATAATAACATTGTAGTCTACAACGTTACACGTACGAAGGTACACAATTGCTCTATCTTCGAAAGTACTTTCGTATTATCTTCGTACTTCCGTGTGACAGAGCAAGTCAAGCTACACGTGTACGTGTAGTCTACAACGTTGTAGGGCGGGGGCTAGTTAATAACTCAAGCGTACTTATCATAAAAATAACTTCCGACGTGAGGGCAACCCGCGAACTGCATAGGGCTAGTAGCTAGCTTGAATTGCTCTGTCATAGCCCTGCCTACATGTATGTACTTCCGAAAGTACGCCGTACTTCAGGAAGTACTTCCGGAAGTACGAATGAAGATAGCCCTACACGTACGTGTACAGTACACGTACACGTAAGTTACAACGACATACACATAGAATACTGTAGTTTAGTGTAACGTTAAATTATTTGGACGTGTACACGTGCACGTATCACTCACGTATCTATTTCCGGAAATATGGCCCTATGAGCTGCCCTATGAATAAGAAGGCATGATACTGTACGAAAGTACAATATGATACTTCCGGAAGTATTTCCGTACTTCCGTACGAAAGTACGAAAGTACACGTGTACAGTACGAAAGTACTTCCGTACGAACTTCCGTACGAACAAATGAATACGTCGTTACACTATGATACACGAATTGTACAGTACACGTACTAATTTCATTCGACGAGCGAAGAATATCGCTATCTTTTCCGCAGTGTACTGTACAGTTACTGTATGTGTACTCGCGTACGTGTAATTCCGGAAGTATACACGCAGGACTCGCAAGGCTTCCAGAAACCGGCCACCAGCCTGTTTCTCAGCAACTTCCTTCAGTGCATTTATACAACAAGTCCGTTGACAAGATAGCGAGGGCCGTGTATTTTAAAAAATTGGTAAATTAACCTGAAGTTCAAATGATATCGGCAATTGCTTGGTTGCCCTTGAGGACCTCACCCACGACTCCCCGGGACGCGCTCGAGAACGAACTGGGCTTATCGGCGGCTCACGAGAGCATCGACTTCGAAGACGGAGTCTACTCTGGGTCAGGTGAGGATGACTGTTCACGTGAACAGGACGAGTTAACTTTTCAAGAGGAGAAGGCAGACCTTTCGGGAAGTATTGTCCGATACGACGAAGCGGTGAGCCATGCTCTAAACGAATCCTCGCGAACCGCAGGCCACAAAGCTGAAGGCCTGGATGCGGCTCTGGCAGAGCTCGATATGGACAAATATGATGATGATGACGGCGAGGATGTCAACGCTACGCGAATCTTCGGCGCCGGGCGCACGAGCCACTATGTTACTAATGATGAAGATCCGTACATGACTATCAAAGATTCAGAGGACGAAGAAGCCGAAGACTACCCTGATGACTACTCGCTGCGCTCTTCCGATCTCTTAATGTTGGCTGCCCGTGCAGACGAAGATGTCAGTCACCTCGAGGTATATGTCTACGAAGAGTCGATGATAGGTGAAGTGCCGGAGTCCAATCTTTATTGTCATCACGATATACTATTACCTGCCTTTCCATTGTGTTTATCACCGATTGGGTGTCCTTCATCTGAAGATTCCCAGAGTCAACATAACCTAGTAGCAGTCGGGACAATGTATCCTGGAATTGAGATTTGGGACCTCGACTTAATTGACTCTATCGAGCCCTTGACAACACTGGGTGGTTACAGTCGCGATGCTATCAGTCATGGACAAGTCAGTTGTGACCTCACTACAAATAAGTCTTCGAGCTGCCAACAGGTAAAGAGTACACGTGGAAGCTCTGCTGGGAGAAGGAAAGATTCAGAAAGTGGAGCACCGAAGCTTCAAACGAGCAGTCACAGTGATGCGATATTGGGGCTATCTTGGAATTATCAATTTCGAAATTTGCTGGCGTCCGCTTCTGCTGACTACACAGTGAAGGTCTGGGACATAACGACAAACTCTGTTAAGTACACCATGAAACATCATAGAGACAAAGTGCAAGCTGTAGACTGGAATCCCATTGAACCCACCGTGCTTCTTACCGGCGGTTTCGACAGCTGCATCGCTATCGTTGACATCAGGGCTCCAGAGAATGCAGCTCTGAAATGGGATGTTGGGGCTGATGTAGAATGTGCGGTGTGGCAGCTTGGCAAATCCACAAAGATAATCGTTTCAAATGAGAAAGGCTTAGTTACATGCTTAGATACCCGTAAAGGTGAGGGGTCGTTGCCCTTGTTCAGCCTTGCGGCACATGAAAGTGCAACAACTTCCTTGAGCATTTCGCCTGGGACTCCAACTCTCGTTGCGTCATGCTCGACTGACAAGACGGTGAAATTGTGGGATATTACAAATGACGAACCAAGTTTGGTTGCACAGAAAGACCCTGATGTTGGAGCAATTTTCTCTGTTGGATTTTCGACATCAGTGCCTTATCTTATTGGCTGTGCTGGGTCAAAGGGTGAAGTGGCAGTTTGGGACATTCTCACTGAGAAAGCTGTGTCACAAGGGCCACACGGTGCAACACTTCAAAAGTACAACCGGGCTGCTGCACTCGGCATTATCAAGGAGTTTGTTATCTAAATCCCCTGTACTTTTACATTTGTGCGTCTTCGAGTTCGCGAATCACGATCCACAACACAGCTCTAGCTAGTAAGTCCTGTAGTTGGCGAATGTATTTTCTCTCTAGAATTCAACCACTGCTAGTTCAAAATACTTGGAATGATAGGCATATGGTCAAGATTCCCTGACTGAGCATTTCTATGCTGACCTCACCTTCGAAGTCCAGGATGCTGAGTATGCTTAAACATAACAGCTACGCAGGTATTTTTTGATGCCAACACTAACATCAGGACTGCTTTCGCAACTAGTCACATGTTTACATGTTCAGCACAATGCCGTCATTGACTTTATGCTTTTGCCCTTGAGAAATACATTCAGCCACCCACACAATGTTCCTGATTTCTTGCTCCCTCCTTTTCAGGCAGCCATAAAAGGTTGCATAATTGAACTGCTCTTGAAATGTTGTGTCACAGAACTTCATTTCTTGCTCACAGAGGATCTGAAATAATTGCGGTCATAAAATGGTTGTGTGCTGGAAAATTAAGAAGTGAACTTGCCCTTTCAATAAAATCTTCACTATATACAATGAGTGATGTTGACATGCTGCAAAATGTGGGGTCCTTGCGCATCGCAGCGCGGATTCGCTCCGGAACTTCGAATTGTGCAAGCTCAAATTGACCCCTTGTATAAAGTGTCCCATACTTAGATAGTACGAGGCAGCGACTGTCAGGGGAGAGGTCAATGCCGGACGAGTTCATCGTGATGTTTATCGCTCTTCTATCAGCTTCAAAATACAGGATATTCTGGGAATCGCCAATGGCTATTTGTAGTTGCGAAGATGATTCAAGTATCGACGGTACATACCCTCATGAGCGCAGATGTGCCCCCATCGAGTTTATAACAAAAAGCAAGGAACTCTTTCAAGTATGCCTGAAGGATTACGTTAGCAGAAATACGATAGCCAGCATTTCCTGATTCCACTCCTTGTAAAGTTTGCTGCGCATGAATTCCAAGTTCAGCTCATCGAGATTGATATCACTGGTACACTCGCCAAAGTAAGGCGACAGTGGTGAGTCTGCTAAAACCAGTCTGTATAGATCACTGTTTGACACGAAATAAATGAAATTCAATTGTAAACAAGAAGACTCGACATTTCACTTCATGGTGCTCGGAACAGTCAATGATGATATGGAATCAAACAAGCCAAGTGGATGACACTTGTCAAGAAGAACCTGGGACAGCACATGTTAAATCATTCCAGGAGATCGTCAGTTCGCTTCAACACACAAATAATTTATCTTACCTTGAGGTCAAGCTCGTGATTTTTTCCAGAGATCACCAAAATGACATTATCGATCATGTGTCCATGTGTCAAAAAATTAAGGAATGTCGAAACTGGCTCTGATGCCTCTAGGAAAGGTCATATCATGACTCATTTGCTTTATCGATATCACTCACTTGCTTTTGAGGCAACTTATCTGTGCAACTACAGATTAGTTCTTTTAAAGCTGGCTTCCAGTCCGACCTGATAGCGAATCCTGTTGAAGTCATCAACTAATTTATTCGAACAATTCGCGAAAAAAGTTGAAGTATGAAGCGATGCGGTTTCATTTAAAAACTCGGATTCAAAGTCGGTGTTGCACTGAAGGAAAGAAGAATCGTCAGCATAAAATCGACAAGCTAAAAGAGTTTGTTCTACGTGGTTATTTACCAATTGTAACTTCAAGTCATCCAGCGAGTCACACTGTCCTAAGTTCCTGTATTCTTGAGCGGAGATGAGGCCGCGACGAAATCCGCGTAAAGCTGCATCAAGAAATCCGTCCTTTACGTTGAACGAAACTTCTTCTGGACAGTTCATCTTTTCCTATCGCTTCTTTACTAGTGGTATTTTACGTTGAGCGGTTGGGAAAAATAGCAATGCGCACAAAATAAAGCGCTCGAAAATGTTTACGCCAATTGAGAGAGAAGATAGATAGATCTACCTCGCTTTTGTGTCCGTCCCAAGTTCGTGTCGAACCACGTTTGTACCGTCATATCAACTGAGCCCCACGTGTACAGTGACACTACAACGTTGTACAGTACGAAAGTACTGAACGGAAATAGATAGACCTTCATTCGTACAACTACAGATGTACGAAAGTACTTTCGTACGAAAGTACGAAAGTATGTACACGTACAGTACGTGTAGCTATGATATGTATGATATGTATGTATGAAGGTATGAATATGTATGTATCATAGCTATGATATCAACGTGTACGTAGCTCTATGATATGTATGATACTTTATGATATCTATCATACTTCCGGAAATAGATACTTTATTTACTTCCGTACACGTACAGTAACAACTTACCTGTTACGTGTATGTAGCTATGTACAGACTATTCAACTATCTGACGTTTTGATGACGCCCGTTACGCTTCAAACGAAACGCCCGCGAGGTGCACGCACGGTATCAAGATAAACCCTCGAACGGGATAGAATATACAATGTCAACCGATGGAGAGAGAGTTGATAATCATACCTCATATTTTTCCCTTACGAAACCACTCGTTGCAAGTGAGTGGCAATTTTTAGCTGAAGGTTCAGCTCACGTGGTGCTTCGATATTGTGGAAGGAATCCAAAACTCGCGTTCAAAATTTTAAGACTGCGCAAGGTCGATAATTTGCATCTTGCGTGTCACAAGGATAACATAGTCGAGCGGCTTCAGGTTACTGACAAGCTTCTCTGGAGTTGTCATAGTCGCTTGAGCTCGACGAAAGTGACCTCCGCAGAGTTTTCCGAGGAATATGTGGACTCAATACTACGCCCACTGGTCGGAGATAACTTGACTTATCCCAGCGATTCGATAAACATAGATGTTGACTTTCTTTCTGCGACTGCTGTTGCCATAGCACCCATGCGAGACCTGTGTCGTGTTCGGAATTCGGAAATTGATTTCCAAGCGAAATTTGCAGTCCTTCACCAGAATCACAACCTTTTTCCTGGATCTTCAGCATTGCGTGCCGCGTGCCGTCCTACCTTTTCAGTGGAACTGAAACCTAAATCGTGCCTTGCGAACACCGCCGATTGCTTCGGTAACTTGCGCTTCCAGCTGCACCAAGCAATCAAGGTATCAACAGGCAGGGAACGGCGATTTAGCAGGTATGATCCTGCTGGGCTATTTTTCGGTACTACTTCCGGTGAGCGCCCACGCGAAAGTCGCTTCATGTGGCAGGGTGTAGTCGCATGTCGAATTAGACTAAGGCGTACACTTCTATCGCTCGTTGCTGATCCACAGAATAATTTCTGTGTACGGAGAGACGATAACAAAAAATATTTGCCACTTGAAACATACCCACCACCTGATACTTGTGAAAGCAAAAGTGAAAGTGCTCGCAATTATTTTGTAAAAGTAGGTTCCGTGCTCCAGCTTAGCAGTCTTGCACAGTTACTGCGTCTTGATTTCTGCCCATTGGTTTTGGGCGTCGAGAGGTTCTCAAAAGAGGCAGCAACAATAGATTGTTTCCTGAATGTTCTCATAACTGCACTTGAACATTCTGAAGTTCTTTCAAGAGTGATGGCACTTCAGCGCATGGACAGAATAGGCATTCAATTGGCTAACGTTCTCGCAGCAAAATTGATACGACATCTTTTGACAGGAAACGAAAGATCTCCTGGAGAGCTGAAGGCCAAGAATGTATTTGACAGAAAGAGTGGAACTGTGAGTTCACAACAGTTGCTGCGCGATCTCATAGTTTCCCGTACTGCTACAGATTGCTCCGTGATAATTGCTCTGCAACCGCAGCAGTATTCTGGTCTTCCTTTCTTGAGTCAAGGGGAGATGCTACTCAATATTCGTGGTCCTCGCAAGCAAGCTGAATCTCGTGAGAAAGTTATCCGAGACTGTCATATCTACAGGTGCCACACAGCAGTCGTTGATCTTGACATGAAATCGATATTCAAGCTTCAAGAGTGGCTGGTTCAAGACACTGAGATCAGGGCCAACTACAACGTGAGGGCAAGGTCTAGTGCTTCTCGATATTGACAATTAATTGTTCCAAGCGTCATTGAGCGTGAAGCCAATTTTGTAATGAAATTTTACCACTACACAAAAGCATATAAACAGGTCGGTATGAACCTTTGCCGCTAAAAAGCAAGCATACGCGGACAATCTCTCTTGCATAGCATCCTGGTCGATCTCTCTCGCTTGCATGTTCCGCTGAAGTGTGATATGTCTCAGGACATCCCTAACGACGGCATATTATTGTTGCCAAGGGCACCACTATGCCGTCCTGCTCTCAGTTCACTTAAGGTCATGGTGGGGTAATTCACGATTTCAGAAAAAAAGTACGAAATTTAGACTGAATACGCATGCAGATTGCAAAAACGTACTTTCGTACGCGCCGTCGCTGCGCGGATCGATTTGAAACTTCGTCACGATGATGTCCATTACAAAGCTGATGCGCTCACAAAGTTTCGCGAGTTTTGGAGGCCTGGAAGACGGTTTTAGGACCCCTCAGCGACTTTTTAGTTGTACTGTACTTGTACATAATAACAACTTAGTGGATAAAAATAAATAAAGAGGCAACGATATTTGTACACATACTTCATTCCGTATTTAAACATTGTAACGAAGTACGAAAGTACTTTCGAAAGTACTTCCGTGCCGTTGGTTGTACCGTTGTACAGCTGTACAACGTACGTGTACTGTAAACGTACCTTCGAAGATAGAATACCTTCGTTGCTCCGGAAATAGATAGTTTATTTTCGTACGAAGGTAAGTTGACTTAATAAAAGTTGACTTATCATATCATATCATATGAAGTAAAAATATAAAATAAAGTACACGCACGTACTTCCGGCAGTACGAATCGAAGGTACACATACACGTGCGTTGTAGTTGTACTTTCGGAAATATGTACGGAAGTATGGGCCACGATAACTAAAACTTGAGGTCAGCGCAACATTTAGTCAGAAAATACACTAGATGGGGTACGAATTAATATATTGAACTAAAAATATATTACACTCTGGCGATTGGCGATCTGTATGACTTGCGTGGTGAGGGAGTACATCATTGTATATGTAGAAATATACTTTCACAGCGAAGCAGTATTTCTAAATTTATTTAGCGAGGGGGGGAGGTGCCAGAAATATTGATGTAGGCGTGCACGTAGTCACGTAGTACTAGTACTAAATAGTCAGAATAATTGTTCATTGATGGCGTTAGGCTTGTACGAAATTACCTTCATATTATCTTCATTCGTACAGGTGCACGTGTGCGCGTATTGTAGTATGTACCTTCGTACGAAAGTACTACCTTGCTTCGTATGTAGTACGAAGGTATGAAGATATGTACCTTCGTACCATAGTAGTGTAGGGATACACGTACATGTACAACAAATGGGTTAGAGCTCAGTCTTTTTATAAATCAGAACTACAACTACACACAACTAAATACGGAAGTACGGAAATAGAATACTTCCGGAAGTACCTTCGTTCGTTCGTAAACGTATAAATACGAAGGTACAGTACCTTCGAAGGTACTTTCGTAGTTATATATTACTGTTTATTTATGATAAAACAACATTGTGTACTTCCGGAAATAAAATAAAATAAAAGTTATCGCGTACACGTACGTGTACATGTACACGTGTACACGTACAATAAACGGTGTACTTTCGTAAACTACAACGTTGTAGCTAGTCGACTGTACGTGTACGTGTAGTGTCTTTGAATCACAGGCCGGTTTTATCTCTGGAGGACTGTGTCCCGCACTTTTCTCAACGTCGAACGTGTCTTGAGCTCGAAACGGGAAACAAACCGGCACCGCACAAAAGGACAACGCGCAGTGCTACGCACGGCTGTAGCGAAAAATCAAACACGCAAGCAAGGTGCGTCGCGCGTGGACGGTCACTCGCCTCCGCTCCCTCCCTCCAGAGCGTGTCACCTGCAGATCGGGAGCTGGCGTCTCTGGGTTGTCTTAATTGTCGCGCGCCTTCAAAGCGCGCGATCGAGCGCGACGATCGGTTCCGGCCGCCGATCTGTCCCTAAACGCGAACATCTACCGCGGCCGGTATTGCGGATGTCATCTCCCCTAGCCCCTCATCCCGCGTGCATTAAACACGCGCCTCGCTGGCGCAACCTCCATACTTACTCGATAAACTCTCCCGCGCTCAGGCGTGCGTTGGATCTCGACCTCCAACCCCGTCCCACATCTGAAGTCACGGAAGTGCCATGGCGGGCAAGGCGAAGATCTCGTATTTTTACGATCCGGACGTCGGTAACTTTTACTACGGTCAAGGTCACCCGATGAAGCCCCACCGCGTCCGCATGACGCACAACCTACTTCTTCATTATGGCGTATACAAGGAGATGGAGGTGCGCATAGTTTTATCGGTTATTGGCTGCGATGAGTGTTTGATGATACGCGGTCAACGACTTGAAACACTCGAACGAAATCGCTCGCAAATCTGCAAACCTAACATCATGACACTTCCTCGCAGCTGTTCCGTCCCGCCCTCGCTTCCGCGGAGGACATGACTCAGTTCCACTCTGACGAGTACATCGAATTCTTACGGTTGATAACCCCGGACAACCAGCACGAACACATGAGGCAACTGAAACGATTCAACTGTGCGGAGGATTGTCCCGTGTTCGATGGATTGTTCAACTTTTGCCAAATCTACACCGGTGGGAGCGTAGGAGGGGCGGTGCGTTTGAATCACAAGCAAACTGACACGGTCGTTAATTGGGCTGGTGGATTGCACCACGCAAAGAAGAACGAAGCGTCCGGGTTTTGTTACGTTAACGACATCGTGCTCGCCATTCTCGAGCTTCTTAAAGTCCATCAACGCGTGTTGTATATCGATATCGATATTCATCATGGCGACGGTGTGGAAGAAGCTTTTTACACCACCGATCGCGTAATGACAGTTTCGTTTCACAAGTTCGGCGAGTATTTCCCTGGCACCGGTCACCTTCAAGACATTGGGCAGCACAAGGGGAAGCATTACAGCGTAAATGTTCCGCTCAAGGACGGCATCGACGATGAATCATACAATATGCTTTTCAAACCTGTCATGGCGAAAGTGATGGAGATGTATGCTCCGGATGCAGTCGTATTTCAGTCCGGCGCAGATTCCTTGACAGGAGATCGCCTTGGCTGCTTCAACCTTAGCATCCGAGGACACGCGGAGTGTCTTAAGTATATGATGACCTTCAATGTGCCTTTACTTGTGTTAGGCGGCGGCGGGTATACGATCCGAAACGTCGCGCGGTGTTGGACTTACGAGACAGGGTGTCTTCTTGGTCACGAGCTCGATGATAAGATGCCGGTGAACGACTACAGCGAATATTATGGCCCCACGCATACGCTGCAAATATCGCCTTCGAACATGGAGAACCAAAACACGCCAGAGTACCTCGAAGGCGTGCGGAACCGTATTTTGGAGAACCTCTCAAAAATCGCACCTAAACCGTCCGTTCCTTTTCACGATGTTCCCCCAGATGCGATCACTCAAGAGGCACAGGAGGTGAAGGAAGACCCGGATGCAAAAGGTGGTGGTGCAGAGGCGGAAGCATCCAGAAGAGCGCATCACTCCGAGCTCGAGCCGGGCGAGGGAGATCGCGATGACAGACCATCACGTCAGGACCACGACACGCGCGACATGAACACTGTAACTACATACGAGCCAGGCTCTCATAAATTTGAGGACGCTATCAAGGATGAAGAAGATGCATCGGATGTTGATGCGATAGCTGAGCTCGGAGATGCAGCTGCTGCTGGCGATCCGGGTGAAGACGCTGATGCAAAGGTGAAAACGACGAATTGTGATGAGTTGGTTCTCGACAGAGACTATGCCGACGGAGGTCTAGGTCGCGACGACAGCGATGAACTTGATCGGGCACCTTCGGTCTTGCCTGGGATAATTTTGAACGACCACGACGGTCAGTGAACTGACCGTAGTGGATATGAGAGGGGGGGAGGGGGAGACATACGCGACTTACTGAAAAAAAACGCGAAATTCATTGTTCACCTGGCTTGCTACTCGTCACAACTTGAAGTGTCACCCAAACTATTTACCTGTCACCCGTGCTTGAGTGGTCTAGTCGTTTCTCAGACACCACACACACACACGGTGGATGTGAGTGAGAGTGGGAGGGCGCAAGGTAGGGGTACTCGTAGAACTACTGTACTCGCGGATTAGAATCCGCACGAGCCCTATTTTTGTAATCTTCACACACACACACACACACACACACACACACACACACACACACACACACAGGCGCGAGGGCGCGAACGTGATAGCCAGGGCACTCCAGCTGGGGGTACACAATACACACACACACACACACACAAACACACGCGCACACACACACACACACGCACACACACACATACTGTTAGTTATATAGTACAAGCACACACCACACGACGCCACTCATACACTTTCACACACACACACCTTTCACACACCTTTCACACAGTGATGTGCTCGACTGCGGTACACACGTGCGCCTGGGCTGTGGCAAGGCGAAGGGCCGTGGCACGGCGGAGGCTCGTAAAATCCAGGTCACTGCGAACCAAGAAGTTATGGGCGCTTTCGCGAATGCGTTGTCGGTGCCCACGAGGAGGAGCTCTCGCGGAAGAACGCGGCAACCCCTCGGGCGAACTTTTTGGGAACGTTTCGCTGGAAGATGCTTCTCGACTCTTCTCGGTACGCTTTCCCCCGACCACTGGGTGCAAGCTTGAACTGCGGGCGACGTCTTGTGGGCGTGGTCTTGTCGCCACTGCGCCTATTGCTCAGGGTGAGACGCTCGTATCCGTGCCTTGGCGGGAGTCCGTTCACGTAATCGAGAACGGGCACGACGACGATCTTAGACTCGCTCTTGCGCTCCTCGATGTCCTGGAAGCCGGAATCAGTGTGAGCAATGACGCACGCGTGAATGCGTGGCGGGAATACCGCGTAATGCTGCCCATATCTACTGGCGCGGCCGCCTTCTGGTCTTCAGAAAACGTTTCCGCGTTGCAGTTGCCAGAGGCAGTAAAGAAGACCTCTGAGTTGCACGAGAAGTTTATGCGATATGTGGACGAAGTTTCGTCTTCCAGTGAAGTTTCTCCAGGCGTTCGTTCGAGGGCGGATGTGATGTGGGCACTCAGCATGGTGCACAGTCGATCATTCTCAGTGCGCACGCCCTTTGGCCACGCACGTGCGCTCGTTCCGTTTGCGGATTTATTCAATCACAAAACTGAGGATCCAACCGCAGCGCGAGAAACGGATGTAACTCTTTCAATGAGCGGTCGCGTGAACGACAATGGAACCAGGGATAACGAACCTTGGATTGTGGACTGGGGTACCAAAGGTGAGATGGATCGTGATGATGTTCGAGACGCTGGCGCTGACTCTGCAATGTTTCACATGCGTTCGATATGGAATTTTGATGTCAACGAAGAGGTGTTCATAACGTATGGGCACGAGACGTCCGCGGAACTGTTGTCTTCCTATGGTTTCTTCCCGTGTCCTAATCACGGTGAATATATCCGCGTGTACGATGACGTCCAAGAGTTGCTAGACGATGATCGTTGGGTAAAAAATAAAACACCAAAAGCGGGAGCGGAGAAGGAGGCGGTGATTTGGTCCGCACTTGCTGTCGAGGCACCGCTGGCGATTCGCCCTGGCGGCTTACACGCCAGCGCACATTTGCTCGGGTGTCTACGCGTTATGCACGCCAGTGGCGGGAGTGCAGAAGATGACGGGAGTGGATTACATATGATAAGAGACGAAGATGTCCCGGACGTTGGGCACAGTGTATTTGTTTGGACGGAAGGGGGGCTCACGTGTGGGGCTTGGGCAAGGGAGACCGTTGTTATGGTGAATTCCGATGACGTAGCAGTGTCGAGGGCGAGAGCGAGAGCAGTGGTCGATGCGGCAGCTTTAGGCCAGGCGGCAGCGCGGTGCACTGAGATGCTTGAGGACCTGCCTACGACGCTTGAAGAAGATGAGGTGCTGCTTCGAGAGCTAGAGTCTTCTGGAGGGGTTGAGGCGACATCCGAACGTATGTATGTTTGTGATGCCGAGTCAACGGCATCGTCGAATTCTGCCAGGCAGACTAGGGTTGACTTCGCGCAGTTCATGACTGCGTTGAAGTACCGGATATCCGCGAAGAAGGTGCTCGTTAATTTCATCAACTTGTGTCGAGCACATGGAGTAGAGCCAAGTCCTCTGTTATAAAACCTCCGCTTCATTCCTGCATGTAAAATTCACATCGTCGATGATGTTTGTTCGTTGAGCGCTCGCCAAGCAGGCGTTGATTCTGCGCGGCGGCGGCGGCGGCAACCGCGGAGGGGGCAGGTGGTACCCGTAGTCAGCGTATCATGTTCGGAGCGCGTAGGGTTCGCGCTGTAAAAGTGATACACAAAAATACTAGGAGTTCCTTCGAAGATACCAAGGTATAGAATAGCTATGTTAATATGTACTTTCGTACCTTCGTAATATGTACCGAGAAGGTACATACATTTGTACTCTCGAAAGTACTTTGTACTTTGTAGTACGGTACTAAACGTACAGCGTTAGTTGTATCAGCGCCTCCGGCGCTTCGGCCGTCGGTCAGTTGCGGGAAGTGCGGTCAGGTTGATCGGCGGTCTCGATCGGGACAGCGGTTTGAAACTCATACTCCAAGTCACGACGTTGCCTCCGCGTCGTCGCAAGTGGCGCGTCGCGCGCGCGCGCCGCGCGCGCAAGTGGCGCGTTGCCCTAGCGTGAAGAGCCAGGACGCGTTGAGTTACGAACCCGCTCGAAACTACGACTCCAGTGAAACACGCGAGATCTGAAAGCGCGAGCCCGACCAAAACTAGGGCGCACTTTCGGTGGTTCGAAATTTCACCCCCGGAGGCCGGAAGCAGCCCAGATGGGAGAAAGTGCTTCACATTTCCAGGCGTACTTCCCCCAAACGGAAGCAGTAGTGTAGCTAGCCTGTAGCTAGCTCTAACCATACATAATAAACGTTTTATGTACATTGTAGCTATCTACCTTCGAAGGTAGCTAGCATATCTAGCTAGAGCTACCTTCCTAAGTACGAAAGTACTTTCGTACGAAAGTAATCTATTTATTAAACCTTCGAAGGTACTTTCGTACTTTCGTAGCTAGCTATCTACCTTCGTACGAAGGTAGTAGCTACTACGAAGGTACAACATTGTAGCTAGCTGGCTAGCTACCCTGTAGCTACCTTCGAAGGTACCTTCGAAGGTAGATATTAGATATGATATGATACGAAGGTGAAGATAAATAGCTAGAATGGATACGTTGTAGGGGTTGTACGTGTACACGTAGTTGTACTGTAGCCCTCCGTCCTCCTCCAAATAAATACGGTTGTACAAAGTACTTTCGTACTTCCGTACTTCCGTGCGTGTGTAAGTTGTCTACGAAGGTACTTCCGTGCCTTGCTTTATGGAAGTAGGGCTACGTGTACGGAAATAGATACTTTCGTACGAAAGTACGAAAGTACTTTCGTACTTTCGAAAGTACTACTTCCGTACTTCGTTTGTACTTTCGAAAGTACTTTCGTACAAGGTACGTACGTGTACAAACTGTACGTGTACATGTACCTTCATACCCCACGAAGGAAAAATATTGATATTATGTGTATCCCTGTGGACAGCTGGACTAAAGTTTATCCGCGCTCGCCGAACAATTCGCCACGCAGAACCGCTTCACAGCCCTCGGTATCCGGTATTCGTCTCACTCACACAAGATGTTAGCTTCTCTTCCGATGACTTCAGCTGCGTTGACTGTCGCGCGCACTGCTGTCGGCCGCACAACTCGGGTTCCCACGGTTTTCCGCGCCAACCAGCGTGAGTAGTTTTGCAGTACGCAAAAGACATTTGAGCACACTCTGACTTTACACTTAAATCTGTCACAAAGCCGTCTGTTCAACATAATCTTCGCATGTCATTGTTATTTCCCTTCTACAGGTTCGGCTCTCGGGAAAAACTCGTCTTACTTTGGATTTGGAACTGGAAACAAAAATACTAAGAACACTCCCAACTCAGACGGTCAACTCGCTGCTGCGACTTCAGTTGATGGTTCGTTCTCCTTTATACATTTCGCAATTGTCTTCAGAGGGCGTATTCTAATTTTCTCTCACAACTTGATTTTGCTCCTCGATTATCTTTTCAGCTCCTGTTTGCATTGTGACTGGTGCTTCCCGAGGAATCGGAGCTGCTATTGCGCGTGCTCTCGGTGGTGCTGGAGCTCGAGTTGTAGTGAACTACTCTGCGTCTGCTGGACCAGCAGAGGAAGTTGCAGCTGCGATCAAGGCAGCCGGCGGTGATGCAATCTGCGTGCAAGCTAATGTTGGTGTTGAAGAGGATGTGGATAAACTATTCGCTGAAACTGTAAAAGCTTTCGGGGAGGTGAACGTTCTGGTAAATAATGCAGGAATCACACGAGATACGCTGATGATGCGCATGAAGTTACAGCAGTGGCAGGAAGTGATTGATTGCAACCTTACTGGCGTATTTATGTGCTGCCAGGCTGGGACCAAAGCAATGAGTAAGAAAAAGCCTGTGAGAGGGCGCATCATAAACATCACTTCAGTAGTTGGCGTCACAGGCAACGCTGGGCAGGCTAATTATGCAGCATCGAAGGCCGGTGTCATAGGTTTAACTAAAACTATTGCACGCGAGTATGCTGGACGCAATATTAACTGCAATGCTGTTGCTCCCGGCTTCATCGCTTCCGATATGACTGCTGAGCTCGGAAGCGCAGTTGAGGCAAAGATTCTTCAGACTATCCCACTTGGACGTTATGGTCAGCCAGAAGATGTTGCTGGCCTTGTTAAGTTTCTGGCACTGGATCCGGCCGCTGCATACATAACTGGTCAGGTTTTCAATATTGACGGTGGAATGGTTATGTAAATTTTTGACCATAGATCCAGGTACAAAACTAAAGTGCACTCTCTCACTTCAAAGTTCGGTGTCAGAAAACCTACATATTTTTTATTGATGTTCGAAGGTATGTATTGCAAGTGAACAGAAGCATGAAGCATTCATATTCTGACGAAAACTCTGAAAAAACTCCTTGATTGAGCAATTATCGTCTGGAGTTCATCCAGCAATAGTGCCGGCGTTGAAGCAATATTTAGTATTCATAGTTTTTTTCTTGAGATCCGGCATGAGAAATAATATCTTCGAAGTACAGTAGTTGTACACGTACACGTACAGTACAACGTTAGTTGTACTACTGTAGCATATTTGTACTATCGTACCTTCGTACTTCCAGAAGTACGAAGGTACACTACACGTACACTACATTTACGTGTACTGTACAACTACAACTACTGTACAACTAATAAGGAACTAAACTATCATAACAACTATCTTCGAAGATAAAATAAAACACGTCCTACTGTAATACTGTACACGTACTCTACGTAATTCGAAAAAACGTACTTTCGTACAACGTTGTACTCGTGACTAAAAACACGTCAAAAAATTGTACGCGCGAGCACGCGCGCGCGAAACCTATCTCCTCCCCGCGCGATGCACGTCTGCGCGCGAAACTTTGCACGATGACAGTTCTAAGGCATGCGCACAGCTCCGAGCCGGGGTTTTTCGACTTTCGCGCGCGTCGCGAAGATATCGTAGATCTTGCCCGAAATCGCGATTCGCGACGTTCGCGTACCCCTCTCGCGGCAGAGAGCATGAACGCGAAATCCCAGGCTCGGCAAGTTCGGCGTTGATGCCTGGAACGCGATGGTGCAAAAAAAAATCCGTCGCGATTCCATTCGAGGAAGGAGATAGGTTTCGCGCGCGGGTGCTCGCGCGTACACTTTTGTACGTATTATCGCATTTTTATGCAAGAGTACGTTTTTTGCTGGTTTTTTTCGAATTACGTAGAGGACTACCTTTTTCCCTACTGTACTCCTTCCTTGATTGGGATCACGACGGATTTTTTTTTGCACCATCGCGTTCCAGGCATCAACGCCGAACATTCTATGCTGGCGTTTTTCGCGCTCATGCTCTCTGCCGCGAGTGGGGTACGCGATCTTCGCGAATCGCGATTTCGAGCAAGATCTGCGCTTTCTTCGCGACGCGCGCGAAATTCAAAAAAAAACGCCAACAGAGGGCTGTGTGCATCTCTTAGAACTGTCATCCTGCAAAGTTTCGCGCGCAGACGTGCATCGCGCGCGGAGGAGTGGTGTTTCGCGCGCGGGTGTTCGCGCGTACACTTTTTTACGTGTTTTTTTCATGAGTACGTTTTATAGGTGGTTTTTTTTTAATTACGTGAGGAGCTGAGGACTGACTACAACGTTGTACACGTACTGTACACGTACACGTGTCAGGGATATATTCTGTGTGCGGAAGTACGGAAGTACTTTCGTACTTCCGTACGAAAATACAATACTTCCGGAATAGATATCTATTTCCGTACGAAAGTAAAAATATCATAGAGTACGTGTAGTAGTGCATAGAATGCATAGAATACCTTCGTACGAAAGTACTTTGAAAGTAATAATAAAGTACGAAAGTACTTTCGTACTAATTAGGGCCTACAGCCCTACACGTGTACAGCTGTACACGCACTGTACACAACTACCTTCGTAAGTTGTATAAACACATACAGTACATACAGAAGCACGGAAATACTTCCGGAAATAATCACTATTTTGTAGAACAATGTGTGTAGCCTGTGTACGTGTACGTGTACAGCTGTACACGTACTTCCGTACGCCATATTCAATCTAAACCGTACGCATCACAAGTTGAGAGACCTACAAGAAGGTTGGCCCCTCCGGGCGCTAACATCTCTCTCTTTTTGCCTTTGGGAATCGCTTGAATTACTTCGATCACCGTGAGAAGGTGGTAATATCTTGAGTATTAGGTACCATGCGCAAGCACGATAGAAAAACAGATTCCAACGGGCAAACAGGGAGCACTCCCCTTGACAAGGACGACATCGCGCTTCTTAAAACATACGGACTCGGCCCTTACTCCGGATCTGTTAGAGCTCTTGAAGCCGACCTCAAAGACATTGCTAAGAGAGTAAATGATTTGTGTGGCATAAAGGAATCAGATACTGGCCTGACGATACCCAGTCAATGGGACTTGACACAGGACAAACAGACAGTCCAAGAAGAGCAGCCTTTACAGGTTGCTAGGTGCACAAAAATAATAAGTGCGAACACCGACGAAGCAAAGTACATGATTAATGTCAAACAGATAGCGAAATTTGTTGTCGGTCTTGGACAACATGTTGCACCGACTGACATCGAAGAAGGAATGCGAGTTGGCGTGGACCGCACGAAGTACTTTATCCACGTGCCCCTCCCTCCAAAAATCGATCCTTCTGTAACTATGATGACAGTTGAGGAGAAGCCCGACGTCACATACAGCGATGTCGGTGGAAGCAAGGATCAGGTCGAAAAGTTACGCGAGGTTGTTGAATTGCCACTTCTACACCCAGAAAAGTTCGTGCAGCTTGGCATTGATCCACCAAAAGGGGTGTTGTGTTATGGGCCGCCAGGAACCGGCAAGACACTGCTTGCTCGTGCAGTAGCAAACCGCACAGATGCATGCTTCATCCGAGTTATAGGATCCGAATTGGTTCAAAAGTATGTAGGAGAGGGAGCTCGACTAGTTCGTGAATTGTTTCAGCTGGCTCGCAGTAAAAAGGCTTGTCTGATTTTCTTTGATGAGGTGGATGCCATCGGAGGGGCTCGATTTGATGATGGACAAGGTGGCGACAACGAGGTGCAGCGTACAATGCTCGAGATAGTTAACCAGCTTGACGGATTTGATGCACGCGGCAACATCAAGGTGCTAATGGCTACAAATCGCCCAGATACTCTAGATCCAGCACTTCTTCGCCCGGGTCGGTTGGATCGTAAGGTTGAATTCGGGTTACCAGATCTCGACTCTCGCACTCAAATATTTCGAATTCACTCTCGTTCAATGGCTGTGGAAAGAGACATCCGCTACGAGCTTCTTTCTCGACTTTGTCCGAATGCCACCGGTGCTGAGATTCACTCTGTATGTACCGAGGCGGGTATGTTTGCTATTCGCCAACGGCGGAAGACTGTAAGCGAAAAAGACTTCATCGACGCTGTTGCTAAGGTGATAAAAGGATACCAGAAGTTCAGTTCAACTGCTAAGTATTTGGCAAGGCAAATTTGTTTTTTATCCCTCTATTTTTTTCTTTTACTATGAAATGAATGCATCCATGAGGCACACGCTGATGTAATGATTTATGCGATGGCCCCATATGAAGCAATACAACTAACAACTTCTCAGCATGAAAATGCTTCAGGCTAGAAAATTTGAAAGAAAATTGAAGGTAAAAAGCTTTTAACATTATTCTATACCTTCTAAAGAAAGTGTAGAAGTAGCAGCTTACAAAGCAAGGTGCAACAGATGACCAGCGGTGGAGCTGCTGTGCCATGCTTACAAATGAACGCACGCCCGCTGCTTTTTAATTACAATTTGCTTTCTTTTTCATTTCGTGCCATCAAGAACCTACAACTCACATGTTCAGTTGCTCGGATGTAGATCTTTCAAGAAAGTAAACAACATACTTGATCAATCAGACCATACTCAGCAGCCTCCCAGGGATTGAAATACTTTGGGCGATTTATATCGTTCTCAAGATCTCTGACAGATTTCCCAGTACTTCTACCAAGTAACTCGAGCTGTGAGGATGGAGCAAGAATAAGTTAAAAAAAACGTGATACAGTTCTGTTGAAACCTAAGATCCACACCGTTTGTTTTTTCGTGTTTCTTATTTCTTTGCGTTGAATCTCCAACTCTGAAGCCTATACGTGCAATACAAGTATAAAAAGAAGGCGCGTCGTATTTACAGAAAATACTGTAGCAGACTTACCTGGCCTCGAAATGCATTAATCGGTTGCTTGATCATGATGCTGGCTGAAGGAAGGGCAGCTCGGTGACCCTAAGGAAATAACAGTCCATTCCATAGATTCACTGTATCAAAGTAATACGAAACACAAGCATCACCTTCTCTCCGGCAGCAAGTAACATCGCTGCTTCGCCCCAAGCAGTCCCAACAGCTACTGTGTGAACAGGAGGAGTGACATATCTGATAGTGTCATATATTGCAAATGCCTCTGTGTCATAACCGTATTTCTGTCCCTCCTGTGTTTATGGTGTAAGAAAACAGGGACTTTAAACAGAAGTTTATAAACAACCTTTGACGTCCCCGTTGAGTTTATGTAGAGGTAGATTGGCTTTAAACTATCTTCGTATTGTAAATAAAGAAGTTCTGCGAGTATGAGCTCTGTGACTGATGGTACGAGCGTCATTCCCTACAGAAAGTTCTGAAGTTGAGCCAGCAGTCTTGGTCATTACAAACGGGAGACGCGTAATTCTCACCAGGTACACGATGCGCTCTTTGAATATATATGACGGGAGATCGGGGGGTGACTGCGTAGATGCATCGCCTTGTAGACTAGGGATCACCTAGAAATTCGCGACGAGCTAAGAAAAAAAAGGGAAACGACAAAAAAAAACAGTACACACAGCGTTTATCTCGATAGGCGAGTTCGCTCGGATGCGAGAACTTGTCCGATCGCGTTTCGACCAGGATCCGAAGCGTGACCGACAAAATCGAGTTGAACAAACGCTAGGGGCTACAGTAGCCTGTGGACAAAAGCACATAAGCGCGGGTCAGATCAGGAACACAAGAAACACACCGACACTTGGGAATACATAATCAATCCGAATGAGCAACAAAAATCTCAACACCGGATAAAAAAGAAGGAATGGGTGAAATTGTTTTCGAGTGACTATGATAGAAGCTGTACGCAGTATTCGATAACGTGGGTATGAAGAGTGTGTGTGACGGTGAGTGTGTGTGTGTGTGTGTGTGTGTGTGTGAGAGTGTGTGGCGGGGAAAACGAAGTCAGAATATCTTTGGGCCAGGTTATGGGTGCACGCACCGAAGGAATATTAACCATTTACCTTCCGGCGTTGAATTTCCTGAGCCGAGGTTTGTTGCCCGTTCTCGATTTTATCCAAAAATGCGCTTTGAAAAGCTTTAGTTGCCCTGCATTCCGGGTCAAAATTGGCATTGACCCACTTGATCGAGTACTAGCTAGCGACCCTAAATTGCGTTGGCCCTAGCTACACGTAGATAGCCCTGCAGAAGTCCGGCTAAGTTGTTATCGTTTTGTATTGACCGCGAGCTACACGTACACACGTGTACACACAAGTACGAAAATAACGTTGTAGGGCTACAGTACAACTGTTCACGAGCACACAGTACGTTGTAGACTACGAAAGTACCTTCAAGGTTGTTTCGAAGGTATCCGATAGTTCTACTGTAGGCCATCTCTATAACTTAGTAGGCCATCTCTATACAACTTACTGTAGAACTGTAATAAAAACAGTACTGCAGGGCCCTAATATTTCGTACGGAAGTTTTTTACGGAAGTACAATGTACGAAAGTACCTTCGAAGGTACTTTCGTACTTTCGTACGAAAGTACTTCCGTACGTGTACTTCCGTACTTCCCGAACTACGAAAGTACGAAGGTATGTACCTTCGAAGGTACTTTCGTACGAAAGTATCTATTTCCGTATACCTTCGTAGTTGCCTTCGTTCATAAATAAAATTAAGTACGGACGGAAGGAACAATGTTTTGTGTACAGCTGTACACGTACACTACACCGTTGTACGAAAGTACAACGTACGTACATAACATTACTTCCGGAAGTATTTCCGGAGGTACACCGTGTACAGTACAATGCGTTTATGTAGCCCCTGGCTATGTGCAGTACGTAATAGTACGAAAGTACGAAAGTATCATATCGTAGCAGTAATGTGCCGAAGGTAGCTATCTACCTTCGTACGTAACGATAGTCTACGTACGTACGGTAGTACGAAAGTACTTTCGTACTTTCGTACGAAAATAGAATACTTCCGGAAATAGCATATTCTAGCTAGAGCTAGCTAAGTACGAAGGTACTTTCGTACTTTCGAGGTACTTTCGTACTTTCGAAAGTACTTAGCTAAACAACTTTATCTTAGCTAAGGTATGATAGCTAGCAAGCTAGCTACGAATGAAGGTACGGTACCTTCGAAGGTAGTATCGATATCACATAATGTACGCATAAGTGTACAGTACGTGTACTGAATAGGTAGCTAGCTGTCTAGCTAGCTAGCTAGCTAGCTAGCTAGCTAGCTAGTGGATAAATATCAGCGAAAGGATACTGTATGAGCTTAGAAAGGATATTAAAAGGATGAGCGTTTGAGCAAATTATCAGAGCGTAGTACGTTTTTAAAAGGATGAACTACTGATCTCATCCTTTTAACTGCCGCGCCGCGCGAGGACAGTCAGAGAGGCGCGCGCCGCGGCTGCGTCCGGAGCGTCAAAGCGAACATCGACTAGACAGCGTGATCGATCATTCCAGCGAGTTTAATACACCTGGGGCGCTGAATCAGGCTGTCACGGCGCACAGATCCGTCGTTTGCAAAACAGACTCGGCGTTGCGAAACATTTGCCGTCTCCTGAGCTCGCGTACGCGACGTCGAAACTTCATGGAAACAGTTCCGAACGTAAAAAAACTTCGGGATTATATCGCGTGAACACATTAGCGCATATATGAAATTCGCGCAGCGCAAAAAAAAACGATCGCTTGCGTCGGCAGTTGAACTCCGCGGGTCGAGGCATTAGCTGCGAAGAAAAATGCTCTTTTACAAATCGACGCGATCGCGCCAGTCTATGCTTTGCTCGTGCGATTCAGACACGAACGCGGTCGACCCGCGCACCTCGAAGGTGATGCCATCTAACATGCCGTGCAGTTACAGAGCCGAAAACGGCTTCTGCGCGATGTTATAGCACACCGCGCGCTAATCCTTTTAATATTCTTTCTAAGCTCATATTCTTTCTAAGCTCATATCCTTTCGCTGATATCCAGTACCTTCGTAGTCATGTACACATACACGTAGTAATGAGATTGCTCGAGAGTGCATATCTATCTAGTTGTACACGTACAGTACATAACTACATAAATCTTCGAAGGTAAAAATTTGATTGTGCAGTACACGTACGTGTACACGTACAGTATGTAGGGCTAGTAGCATGCAACTCTCTAAAACAAGGGGGTAATTCTTTTAGGGCTACAGTTAGAAGCAATGTCTGGAGCATCTAGCCGCTCAGCTACTTCCTCGAACCATGTTGGAACTTCGTCCGTCAGAACTATGCCATCGTCCGGTGGGGCAGTATTTTCTTGACCTATTTTAATGGCTTTCATCTATCTATCTATCTTTGCTATGAAACGTTTTTTTGTAGTCGTTCACTATTACCGCGCTTTGTGCTTTGAGTTTATTCTGAATTCAGCAGTAACTCTAACCCTTTCACCTTTCTGTATCGTCATAGATGCAGTTAGACGCAGAACAAGTGGCGTTAGTGGTCCGTTTCGTTCCGCCAACAATGGAAACGGGATGTCGATGTTGCGGTTCTACACTGAAGAGGCCCAAGGCCTCAAAATAACACCAGTATGTTTTTTTTATCAAGTTTATTTTCATTTCCCCCCCCCCCATGGCATATTTGAATGTGTTCTCTCGTGCGTATTCGCAGGTTCTTGTTCTTGTTATTAGTGTTTGCTTTATTGCATTCGTCACCATGCTTCATGCCATCTCCAAGATATATCAGTACCGCAATTCATAAGAGCTTTTATATACAGGTTTGTTCTTTGGCGCTTTGTCACTCATGCACACAATAATTAGTTTCAACCCACCCATCCTGGTTTGGAATTTGTTTTAGAAAATTGTTTCATGTCAGCATAGAATGGCGGCACCACATTTTTGTGTTCATTGTGCGTATGAAGTTGCTGTCACTGAAGTCTTATATTTTTCTGACGAGGACAGATATTCACTTTGTTTAAGACGCACTCTAAAAGTCTGGAACATTAGAGTTGGAAGCTTAAAGAGATGACGATGATAACTTTCAATAAACCGCTTTGCGTATGTAGCTATCAACTTCCGGAACAGACTCCTTATCCCCTCCCCTACAAAGGCGTTATATCTTGCGAGAAAACTACTTCACTTGTGTATCTCATGCCACACCTCACTACGCGAAACCGAAGGAATCTTGAGTGCTCAGCTCCGATAACATGGTGAATCTCTCCTGGACGTACTTGTCAACGAAAACTCCATGAATCATTGAGAGCATTCCATGTACAAAGCTCAAACTCGTGAGCAATTTTCAGCAAGTCATCTTCCCTGAAAATCGAAAAGTTAGTTAACGCCCAGTTACTCGTTTGCACTTCCTCTCCCACCTGAAGGGGCGACCTATAAACTGCAAGCCAAAAGGTAAACACTCGTTCTCGACTTCCATCAGCCCACTGCGGACAACAATCGCCTGTACATTATTGTGAGACCAGACCACAAAAGCAAGACCACAAGACCACATCAGCGTGTTGATTCTCACCGGAAGACCAGAAAGATTCACATTAACTGTCAGCATGTCACCTGAAAACATGGAAAGTGGATCCTTGACCTGAAAACTTATTTCAGTCAAACCACGGCCGCGATAACTGTGACCTCGAGCTGAAATCTAAATTAAATAACCTTATTCTCCAAGCAGTAGGCAGCTGTTGGTGCTGCAGGAGTCAGAAGCGCGTCGTATGTTTTCAACTTCGAGGCGAGGTCAAATGCCACAACCTGCTGAACCTTTGTAAAGTGGAAGAGAGTAAAATACAGAGGATGTTCGTTTAATGTCAGGATAAAATACACAACAGACCATTTGGGCACGCTTATAATAGGCATCACTATGGCCCGCTGAAAGAGCATATGAACCCTTTTAATATTGCAACTGTCAAATTAAGAAAATATACAGTTCAGATAGCATTACAAATTCACCATGAGTATCCTTCGCTTTACTTCGACGCCAAGACCTGCACTCCGATCCAACTTAAAAGAGAAGTCTTAGATAAAATATCAAATATTGTATCAAAACTCAATGAAAATTAAATACATATAAAATACCTTTTTGCCCACGCGGAGAGTGTCATATCGGGCAAGATTGCTGGCGACGAAGATCAGAAAAAAAAAGATGTCGGTGAAAGCTTTTAGAACAAATTATTAATTACCTGCTTGCCTCAGAAAGTGCAAGGATATAATAAGCAGGTAATCCAAGTAGAAACGTCGGGCAAGAAACGATATCAACAACAGCCTGATAAATAAAATCAAAGTCTTGGTTATGAAACGAAACTGTGCAGACTTACTCCAAGCTGCTCTATTTCTTTACATGCATGAAGAAAGTATTTGCGTATGTGGTCGTCAACACCAGAATCTGAAACAGAAACTTAGGTGTTTTTTCCAGCAACCCCTTCTTACAGCCGGGGAAAATCTGTTTTTATGGAAAGCACATAACATACCCAGGGTTTCCTTCACAATAGCGAATCTTTTGCCAGATAGAGGCCGCGAAGCCATGCAATTAATGTCAAGAAGACCATGCTGATATGGAAAGCTCTCGAGATGTTGCAGAGTTGCATCAGTATCGGGTGCCAGGTAATTTCTCGAGCTACAAAGCGCCGATAGCGCTATCGCTGTATCCTAAAGAAATTTGGTGTTACAAAAAAAACCTGCTGACTCAGAAAAGTGCGGAAACCTCAACGGAAGATGACAGCGGCCCAATGCTGTCGAAAGATGAGGCATATGCAATCAAGCCATGGCGAGACAGCAAACCATATGTGGGTTTCAGCCCGACAACTCCGCAGAAAGAGGCAGGCTGCCTAATGGAACCTGTCGAGGGAACTAAAAAGACGTGAACAGGTATCTAGCTCAAAATATTTCACACCTCCGGTATCACTCCCCAAAGCAAGAGCACATTGTTGCATGACTACTGCAGCAGCGGAACCTCCAGAGGAGCCTCCTGGCACCTTTGTCAGATCCCACGGATTTAATGTCAACTGAAAAGCGGAATTTTCCGTCGTGCTTCCCATTCCAAACTCATCCATATTCGTCTTTCCTATTATCAATGCTCCAGAGGCCTACAGAAAATAAATACTACAGTGCTCAAAGTTTGCAAATTTGCGACGATCGTTCGTATTTACAGACCCTCAATGCGCTCAGCACGTGAGCATCGTAAGCTGGTTGATGTTTCTGGAATTTTCGGAGCAGCAAAAATGCTTCAGTAATGAATGTAGGGCTCACGATAAAACTGGAGATAGAATCTTGCCTCCAGAAGTTTAGAGCCTGGAAGGGAAAAAAATAGTGAGAAAGGAACCTGTGCAAAAGAAGAGTACGCATACCAGCAGTAGTGGCCGACCCCGAATAGCAAATATTATCCTTTAAGAAGTTAGGTTAATGGACAGCAAACCCAGCAAATGCAAAATGTGAAGGTGATAAACCAGTGACTAAGGCAGCACCTTAATTGCAAAGGGAACCCCAGCAAGAGGGCCAGGGTCTAATCCAGAGGCGAAAAGACTATCTAAATATTCCGCCTGAGGCCGAATGGTTGAGAGAAAAAACCTGAACTTATTTAGGGAACATGTAACAACCTGCTGAAGTGCTGAATCCGCCGTTAACGATGTAAAGCTTTGCGTAGTAGTGTCCGTTGCGAGAATCTGTCAATAAGTGTATTTCACAAAAAATGAGTGTGCGGTGATGGCCTTCAGTTTGAAACCTTTTCGACATATGCGTGAACAATTTCTTTCACCGAAACATTTTGCTTGCGAATCATGGTACCCATTCTACGAACCAATGATAGGCTATGTAGGCAGCAAGAGCAAGGATTCTGTTCGTGTACACTGGACTGCAGCGCGTTCAAATTGAGCCAAATCCTTTTAAAATGCAGAGAAAAAAGTGCTCTCACCGTTTTATTCCGGGAAGGTGCCGACGACCTCGCTCGTTGGAGCCCGTGAACACTCGTCGAAAGCCCGGAGGAACTCATCCATGATAAAGAAGACATCGTATGTCTAGCGCGCCAGCAACAAACTTTTCGGAAAGTGTCGAGAACGACGGAATACTTCGGCAAAGTTATTTGTCACGTACTGTACGTGTGTACACGTGTACAGTACGTAGCGTTTTTAGTACATACACCATTTATTACACGTACTGTACTTGCTTATACGAAGGTACACCTTGCGGAAGTATTCCCGGAAGTACGAAAGTACTTCCATACTTCGAAGGTGGCTACGGCTCCTCCACTGACGCAGTGCAGCTCGGCAGTGAGACGAGGTGCAGCGCGTTAGTCTCGTGGCTGGTTTTTCAGCCGAAATATTGTTTGAACCGGAAACACAAAGGCACCGATGTCATGGTTCAATAGCCCGGTCAGTTTATTAGACCTCGGTGAAAATGAAACAACTCACCTGCGTGGTATACATAACAAATTTCGTTCGGTTCTTCAGGTGAGTGGCCTTGATCAAGTCTTAACCGTACAATCCGCTACCTGGCTCGCCACTGGTGGTGGGATGTGCTTTGATTGTGACATCTGTGTTCGTGGACCTACTGGCAGTGGCAAGACGTTGGCATATGCCTTACCGCTTCTGCAAGCACTAGCCAGCCGTCCAGGTTTACGTGAGCAGCGTGCACTTATTGTCATACCCACCTTAGATCTTGCAACACAAGTGTCACAGTTACTATCTCCACTTTGCGACGCCACTGGACTAACGGTTGGAGTACCATTACGCACACATCAAGATAAGTGCCTCGTTGATCGACTTACACTTGAGAACCTTGCAACCCTGAATCGTCCAAGCCATGCAGCTCTTATATTACAGCCAGTGGACCACAAAATTGTACGGGCACGCATTAGGCAAGCCACAGATTTTTCGAATGCTATACCATTAGATAGTGCTTCTGAAGAACGTTTTGATGTTATGGTAGCGACACCAGGTCGACTTGTCGCGCATGTCAAGGAAGTGTACTATCAATTACTTTCAGGTCTTGAGTTTCTTGTAATAGATGAAGCAGACCGTGTTTTACGGCAGTCCTATCAGGGTTGCATATCTTTAATCGATTCTGGTGTGGGGGCAAGGTCACCTCATACAGGAAACGGCGATCGCAGTGTGTCGTCAAGACGGCTTCGAAAACTTCTCATTTCGGCGACACTAACCCACGACTCAGTACGCTTCGCCCACCTACATTTAAATTCACCAAGAGTAATCCAGTCGTCTGCCTATGAATCAGATTCACTCTGTGATTCTCAATATGTTATCCCAAGCGATCTTGACGAGAATTTTATTGTCACAGAAGCTATTAAGAAACCGTTGGCTTTGTGCGCATTGCTCAAAAGGATTGGCAGAGTACCTGTCATTGTTTTCACTTCTTCTGTAGCCATCACACACCGTCTTTTCCTCCTGCTTGACTCAATCAAAGGTCTTCCGTCGAGCGCCGTGGAGTACAGTTCTTCTTTTTCTCAAGGTGTGCGATCTGCAGCTCTCGATTCCTTTCGTTCTGGATCTAAGCAGCTTCTAGTCGCTTCTGATGCCGCAACCCGTGGACTGGATATCAAACACGTTGCTGCAGTGATATCGTATGATGTCCCTCTGCATCAGAACACATACATTCACCGCGTTGGGCGAACTGCAAGAGCTGGTCAAAAAGGGACAGCGTACACGATTTGCCGTTCTTCTGAAACTCAACGCTTCAGAAATATTCTGACAAAGGTAGATGGGCAACGTAAAGGACGAGCATACACACAGATCGTACTTTCAGAAGAGGAAACTCAGGAGTTCGCGGGAAAGCTGAGATCAGCCATCGTTGCTGCAAAACTTACTCTAGAGGCCGAAGGGATACAGAGAGTGGTGAATATTGAGACACCTACGACGCACGCAGTGCGAGTTGCAACTGCCCAAGCTTGTCACAATCTCTGCAAAGTAGAGCTCTAGGAAGGTACACGAGGCACTACAACGTACATATGAAGGTAAGTTGTCTAGCTAGCTACGTACTACAACTAACCTAATATGATATGAAAGTAAATATGCAGGTACCTCATCAGGACGGAAGTACCTTCGAAGGTACCTTCGTACTAATTATACGTGTACACGTACGTCATGTACATGTAGGGTTTATACAAAATAAAGTAGGCCTGCTGTATAGTTATCCCCCCCCCAAAAGCAGTACTGTACATACATGTTCGAGTCATGTACGTGTATGTTGTAGTCGTGTACCGTACACGTACCCTCGAATGTGGACTTTTTTTTGTAAAAATAAAGTATTTCGTACCTTCGTAAAAGTAACTTACTGTAGAGGCATACATAAATATGATACGAAGGTATATATATATATATATATATATATATATTATCGTATATATTATACCGTATTAAACTGCATGTAGCTCTACAATGTAGAAAATACCTTTCTTTATTTATTTGAAGGTGAGTTGCAACTTACGTGTACAAATAAATTAATATCTTAATAATAAATAATGAACTAATAATACGCATACGTATGTACATATGTCTGTAGGGCTATCTAGTAAAAATAAACATACATGTAGCTAGCTAGCATGTACATACATATTTTCGTACGAAAGTACTTTCGTACTATATAATAATACGAAAGTACACGTATATATGTTGTACGGGTACCTTCGAAGATATGAAGTTATCTTTGCATTAAAATAAAGATATCATATGGAAGTACACGTACACGTACACGTACTGTACTGTATCTTTTATGGAAATAATGCATGCTACTGTGCATACAATATCTACACACTTGTACAAATAGTTACGAAAGTACAAAGTACTGTACGTGTACAACATTTATGTTGTTTTATTATCATTAATAATAATATTATTATTATTATTGTACGTGTACATGCATGTACAAGTAGCTAATAGTGTACGTGCGTGTATGTAAAATCTAGAATTTAATATGTACGAAAGTACGAAAGTACATATGTAGCTACGTACGTACGTAGCTACGTACCTTCGTAGTTACGTACTGTACCGGAAGCGAGCCCAGATGGGAGAAAGTGCCTCGCACTTCCCCCAAACCGTAAACTTGCTCGAACATTCTGACACTTTTCTGACTATTATATCTTTGTACCTTCGATGTCCGTGTAGTTGTACAGTACGCGAGATGTGCTGGATAGATTGAAAAGAATAGCCACATAATTTTTTTTTGCTGAACTCGTACACGTACACGTGTACACATAGTGTAGTGTACTCGTGTACGAAGGTAGAAGGTACTTTCGTACGTACGTAGCTACTACGTACGTATGTACCTTCGTTGTTGATTATGATTTTGTACGTAGATAGTGTGCCAATTTTTTTGTACGGGCCTACGTGTACGAAAGTACGGAAGTGCTTGCGGAAGTATTTGCTGCGGCGCTCCAGGAGAAGGACAGACGCATCTTCTTCACGCTTACCAGGTGTAACGCGTGGCATCCCTTGGAGTCCTTCGACGTCTAAATCAGAAAACGCGCAGTGAGGCTCCATACTACATCACTACCTGAAAATGTCGTATGCGTAATTCGTCTTCAAAATTTGACATTTTTTGGGGTAGGGATAGAATACCAATCCCCCTATGGTGCTATATCTACCTTCGAAGGTACCTTCGTAGCTACTTTCGAAAGTACTAGCTAGCTAGCTAGCTAGCTACGAGTACCTTCGTAAGGCTACATACAGTATGTTCCGGAAGTACTTCCGTAGCATGGTGCTAACACTAGACTAGGTACGAAGGTACGGTACTGTACTTCCGTACTTCCGTGAAGTACGAAAGTATTTCCGTAGCTAAGTGCTATTAAAACATGATACTAGTTGTACACGTGTAGACTAGATAGGGCTACGAACGGAGGTACGGAAGTACTGTACGGAAATACGGTAGTACTTCCGTATTTCCGTACGTACATCGCTGGCGTGCCCATCTCGTACGCGCTCAGAGCCGCACGTGACTCTGAAAACTTCCACTCGGGCGCGGCAGCGCAAATCCTATTCATGGAGCCCGACACAGCTTGCGATTTCCACGTCGCCCCGGCTTCGTGTGCTCGTGAGGCTCACACGGGTTTCAGGAATCCCATCGTGGGGTTTCTTACTGCGTGAGAGGATTGCCCGTAGTGTAGTCTGCTCGCACTAGGTCACATGTTTTGCCCGGATGGGTTAGAGCTCAGTCTTTTTGTAATCTGATCTACACACAGGTGCGTACTTCGTACGGAAGTACTTCCGGGAGTATTTATTGTTATGCTTCCGTACGTATCTATCTCCGTACTTTCGCTTCCGTACAACAGAGCGAGACTACAACGCGTAGCAATCATGCATGGCTTGTACAGTACCTTCGTAGAACTCGTAGCACTCTCGTAGCCATATCCTAGTAGGGACACTGTACACGTACACGTACACGTACTATAGATATAAAGCCTTTAACAGTACACGTAGTGTACGTGTAGCCCTACTACTGCCCTACTCCCGTACCTTCTTTGTATTGTCTGTCTCTATGAGAGTTTTTATATGAGTAACAACTTATCTATTTATGTGTACATTAGTACGAAGGTACTTTCGTACGAAAGTACACGTGCGTGTACCTTGCTTGATTATTATTATTGGTTCAGTAAATCGATAAGTTGTTTATGATAGTATCATAGTGTGTAGCTGTGTACCTTCAACGTACGAAAGTACTTTACTTCCGGAAATACAATCTGTACTGTACGTGTACGTGTACAGCTGTACACATAAAAAATACGAAGGTATCTTCATACATACAGCAACTCATCATTATTAGTGTAGATTGTCTACACGTACTGTATTCTACATACACGTATGTAACCCTACGCTGCCGCACGGTACACATAGATACTTCCGGAAGTACTTTCGAGAGTACCTTCGAAGGTACTTTCGTACTTTCGTACGAAGGTACTTGCTTGGTTGGACCTTCTACCGGTAAACAGAAGAAACTAAACTTAGTTTCCTGTGTGAAATGACCTCGTTTACAACCGCCAAATGTCTGAGGAACATGTCTTGATATTGATAAGGAAGTGTTGCAGAGGACAACTCGTCGAAGGTTTAATCACCGGTCAACTTTGCGTCGAAGACAATTTTGAAGATCAGGATAAAGGTCTGCTGAACTCTCAAACATTGCCACCGCTCAGATCCTTTCACCTCACTCAAATATTTACCGTGCCAGGTCTAGTTATAAGTGCAATAAACTGCAGAAATGCCGTTATTTTCCAGCTTGATAAACTGGTAGAGACATGGAAATCACACGATTCCGTAAACTTTGTCAAGAGCGCTGCCGTAACGCATATTCTAGATTTCAACGCTGCTGACGCATCGTCGACAGAGCTATCCGGCCAATTTGCAAGGTTCATTCACCCTTTGATCAAATACGCATGTACGTAGATGATGTTTTCTTTGAAGCATAGGTTTGAGACAGGGTCTGAAGACGTGGAATGTGTGAGCAAGCTCTCAGACTATTCGAGGGATTCAGGCGCTGAGGTATATTCTGTACTTTCTAGGTGTCATTATATTTACAGAAGTTTGTAGGGTACCGTTGTGCACACACTCGTGCACGGTATATCAAAAATTGATGCTGTCGTGTCTTTCTCTGAGGCATTTGTAGAAGATTCTTCCCCGGAACGATGATAGTTGTATCACCTTGGGGCTTATAGATGTTTGAATGACTATAGTACAATACTTTACCGGGACTGCATAAGGTTTCAAGACTTTTTCGAACTTGTCATCGTATGTGCACGCCTACAAACAGTGGTCAAAGTTTATCTCGCTGTCTTTAATAAAGAAACTAACAATAAGATTCGCAGCAAAAATGAGGTGAATTTAACTTACTAACGTAATGCGGTCAATATTGAGGTAGGCACGGCCAAAAATAGTAAGAGCAGACATAATGTGAACACAACCTCAGGAGATGAAAAAATCCTCTCGCAAATGCCCTTTCATCTTTCACAAAATCTCGTCTACTCGATGTCATCTGCGCGAGAATCACACAAACATTATGTTATTCTCTCCCTCCGTCGCGCAAAGAAGGTGAACGAACGAACACCCACATCCTTGACTGCATATCACGGTCTACCTTGAAGTGCGTGTGAAACAGATCTGCTTCGTGGCGATATCCCCAGTCTTTAAGCCAGGCTTTGACTCCGAGCTGAGCATAGGTATCGTTGAACATGACCACGTGACTTGGCACAAGCGTACCATCACAAAACGGCACCACGTGACCGTCTCGTTCAACGAAAACACCAACACTATGGTCATTTCTGGAGTAAACACAGTCTTGTGCTCCGTACGCTGTCGCCAGCCACGCTCCAGGATTATGAAAAAAACGTTCAGACTCATCAACATGATCAAAATTGCTGACATTTTCGTCATCGCACCAAAAACACTTCGGGGGACACTCTAAGAATCTCATAGAAACATGTGAATTGTGCATGTGCGTCGTATATGGTGTCTGGTGACAAGGTGTGAGGAATAGAATGCCTCCTGAGTGTGTTGAGTTCGCAGAAACTGCGTTTGATAGAAAGGGCATGACTGCAATGCTTCCAATTTGATGCCACATTGAAAAGTACAGTGCAGGTGGGATTTGTGTGAACAGAATGTAAGCAACGAAAATCCAACGGACGCGTTCGGACTTCCAAACGCCTGTCATGCCTCCCTCTCTTTTTCCGAATTTTGACGTCACATGCATTTCACTCACGAGGCAGGCTAACCCGATACCAGACAGTGCGAGAATAAATGGCAGAGTCGGCATCATAAAACGAAGTTCTTTATGTTCAACAATGCTGTGACCGATGACGATACAACAGAGAGCGATGAACGAAGTAAAGGTATTATTATTGCTTCTCACAAATAACGCCAACGCCGCTAACGGCAAATACACCGACGCGACCGTGGGTAAACCTTGTGTTAAGTACCAGTGCCACGGGTGAACACCATAGCGAACACTGCCTCCGTTCAGAAAATTGAACTTGAAAAAATTTATAGTTGTGAACGCCCACCACCCGTAGAATAATCGATCTGTGACAAATGAGAAGACAAGTGCGCTCAATACATTCGGAAGTGCCTCATAGAGGAGGAGAAAGATGCCGCGTGTGCGATCACCCAGGGAGCTTCGGCATGTGTAAAATGCTTCGAGGATAATCAAGGGAAACCAATATCCTGCCGCAGTAGGTCTGATAACACAGGATGTCGCAGCAAGCGAAAGTGCAACCATACGATTTGCACCACCATTCTGCGTTAGCTTTGATTTCGTATTGGCGCTTCGTCGCTGGGGCGTAGCCGCCTTTTTTGCTGCCCAAACTTCCCCATCCTTAGCCTCCCGGTCCTTAATGCACTGCCATGGCCACAGCGCCGCCGCCGCCGCACTAAGAGCAGTCTCCATGCAGTTCGAAAACGTCCGCACAGAGCAAAAAAAATGAAACCAACACGACATCGTACAAAAAAGAGCCCAACCTCTTGCGCGATCTCCGTCTAGACGCCGTGCAAGTCGAGCGATGGATACGTCCGCGAGAGCGGCAAACGCGGCCTGGACGAACCTCGGCGCCCATACGAGGAACGGAACGGTGTCAACGCGCATCCAACGTGCGGCTTCGTAGATGGCCGCGAATATCGCGGGGTGGGCGAACCCACGCACCGCGGCGTCCCACTCCCAAGTCAGGTGGCCGTATCCAAAGACGGCAACGTGAGCGACTTCAAGAGACTGCCAATACTCATCCGCGTTAAAATAAGTGCGCACAGTGAGTGCATTAACGCTTCGGAAAACGAAGCAGCAGAGGTAAAGGCGCATGGGCGCCCCAACCGCCACGCGGTTGGGGCGGACCTTCTTCTGCTTCATTCTGAAGCCAGGACTCGCTCCTAGATCCCGAATTCACTTTCATTTCATCACTTAAAATCGCGTTGCCAACTAAACTGACCACCTACCTTCGGAGGTACTTTCGTACTTTCGTACTTCCGGAAGTACAAAATGACTACAGTACATATTTACTTCTGTACACGTACTGTACATGTACAACGTTGTACACGTGACGAGTTGTGCGAGTCGATGAGCAAAATTTTTGCCGTAGTACATTTTGTATGAGCAATTAGTCTAATTTTCGCCAAATCTGCCAATTTCAGACTGTTTGCCTGTGAATATCTGTAAACGCTCGTGCGCGCGCGTACATGCTGCGGAAAACCATGGCGAACGTATTTTTAACATACGTAACTGTTACGTTCTTCGTCGGCGCGGCGCGTGTACTTTTCCGCAGAGGCGGCGACGGCGCAAACATCGAAGGTCGTTTTGTATGAGCAAACAGTGAGAAGTTATGGACGACACCGCTTTCGTCGCCCAGGAGGCCGCACAAGCCGCCGCGACTTCCCTCTTAGGTGTTCCTCGCCCTGGGGGAAGGCCGAAGAAGCAGTCCTGCAAAAGTGAAAGCGGAAAAGACCGCGACTTCTGGTGTGCGGGCTGTAGAAACAACAGAGTGTGCCGACTCTTTCCTACAAACAACGTCTTGGTCGCGCCCCCACCTTCAGACGTTGGCTCATCATCAGCGCCTCGCCCGGCCCAGCCTGTATCATCGACGGAAGAAGACCCGGGGCGCGCTCTCGACGTCGAGGTTGCTGAGGAGACGTATACGGGAGAGACTATTACACGATGGGCAGCAGTGAAACGTACTCGTAGTAAAAGTCTCAACGATACGAGTATATATACTCCTGGTGAAGAGCTTATCGTTGACCAGAGCAAGAAAGCAACTGAACGAACGACGACGCGCGGGAGAGAACGAAGAGAGGAGACCGGCGCGGTCGCGGAGGAGCGAGCGAGGGACGCGAAGCGCATCGCCACGACACGGTCTACTACTAGAGCTACTCGCACACGCACCCGCCGCGCCGTCGCCGACTGAGCGTGGCGCGGTGAAAAAAACAAACGCCGCGCCGCGCCGCGCACCGTCGCCTCGCGACTACGCCCCCTCTCCTACCTCCGCAGCTACTATCCACTGCAGGACATCCTTGTGCCCCCTCATTCGGGCTAGGGATTCGCATAGCTCCGGATTCCACGGACAGCCGTTCGCTCGCGCCCACTGAAACACCTCCAGTTGGCCGTGAAGCGCGGCGCTGCGGCAAGTTCCCTCGTCCCACGGACAGCCGTTCGCTCGCGCCCACTGCAACACCTCCAGGTGGCCGCCACCCGCGGCATCGCGGCAAGTCTCCTTGTCACACGGAGCGCCGTTCGCTCGCGCCCACTGCAGCACCTCCAGGTGGCCTCGAAGCGCGGCGTAGGCGCAAGTGTCCTCGTCCCACGGAGCGCCGTTCGCGCGCGCCCACTGCAACACCTCCAGGTGGCCGCCAAGCGCGGCACTGTGGCAAGTACCCTCGTTCCACGGAGCGCCGTTCGCGCGCGCCCACTGCAGTACCGCCAGGTGGCCGCCTTCCGCGGCATCGCGGCAAGTCTCCTCGTCCCACGGACAGTCGTTCGCTCGCAACCACCGCAGCACCTCCATGTGGCCGCCAAACGCGGCATCGGCGAAAGTCTTCTCACCCCATGGAGCGCCGTTCGCCCGCGCCCACTGCAGCATCTCCAGGTGGCCGCCTGCCGCGGCGCTGGCGCAAACCTCCATGTGGTCGCCTTCCGCGGTGTCTAACACAACGTGGGCGTCAGCCACTTCGACCCACGGGCATCCTCGTTCCTTCGCCCACTTCGCGACATCCACGTTCCCACCCCTCGCGATGCACGTGAACGTCTTCTCGTACCACGGGCACCCTCGCTCCTTCGCCCACGCCAGCCTGCTGATCGACCCAACGAAGTTAGGAACCCTCGCGAGCTCTCTCCTCACCGCCGCGACGTCCCTCACGTCTCCGACTGGCGAATCGAAGACGACGTCGCGCATCTTTCGGTTCACCGTCGCGAGCACCGCGAGGTCGCCGCCGTCGAGCCGCGGGAGCACGTTCCCGACGAAGACGTCGCGCGCGTCCGCGGCGAGCCGCTCCAGGAGTGGTTCGCGCGCGGCTTCGCGCTCTTCGAGACCGCGAGCGGCGTCCTGTAGCGCGAGCAAACGCGTCGTCGTCGTCATGAGCTCCTCCTCGAGCGACGTAGGATCCTCGACGCGCGCGCGCTTGCGCCCCGCCGACGGCGACGCCCCGACCGCGCGCGGCGCGACCGCGGCGTTCGCAGCCTTCAACCAGCTCACCTCCGCCGTGAGCGCGTCGCACTTCGCCTTCAGCGCGTCGATCCGCGCGACGACCGCGTCGTCCAACGATCTGACGGCGTCTCCTCCCGCGGTCGCGCCATCGCGCGCGACGCGCGCGCTCCTTCCGCGCCTCGGAGGCGCCATCTTGTCGGGACGATGCACGCGCGACGCGAAGCACCCGCGGACGACGACGACGACGACGCGACGGGCGCTGCGGTGCGGTGCGCGACGGACAGAACGAGAAGACGAAGAATGCGGGGCGGTTTTGGTTTTTTCGAATGAGGCGGATGAATCGCGGCGGGTGAAAACATTCTTGAAGGGAGTTGAAAGGTAAATTGTTTGTTGAAACCGGGAGAACAGAAGTTTCATCGGCTCGGCAAATTTTGAACCATCTTCAAGAGCCAAATAAGAAATCAAATTCAAGTTGGCCTTCAGTTCCCAAGGGGCGATGAGCAACTGAATTCAAAGTAAATGACACTTTGACCTCAGCATGAACCGGAGTAACGCACTCTATGTTTGTATTGTTCAAAACTGTAGCGGCCACAGATATTGTGCCAAAGAGGCAGCATAGAGAGCTTGAAAAGTCATTGAAGTATGAACCATGAACAGAAACAAGAAGACCGCCAAAACCATCTGCAATGTCGGGGGACAGATGATTTATTCGAGGATTCTGCATAAAATGTAGTTCTCGGCCAATAAGCTTTTTGGTTCTCCAACTCGAGTTGATAATCAAGAGGGTCTCACTCAACTTTAGGGGTGAAACTTGCAATACGTTTGCTTCCTGATTTATATACTGAACTTCACCACTGTCGAACCTGAGCTTACTGAAGCCGCCGCCTATTGTCCCTGAACCAGACATGGAGTCAAATAGCTCGCAGCGTGCCAAGGTAGAGGATACTGCAATGATGTCACTGGCGTGTCCACCGAATACGCAACTTATTGAAGACTGGAGAGAGTCATCTATAAAAATGCGTAGATTTTTACCTGTAATTGTGAGGAGAGCACCGCCATATACTGGTACCCATATTGGATCCACCGTATTTAACTCAGCTGGAGTATTATATTTAAAGCTGACAGAATCAAAGACTCCATCGCTATGGTGAAGTGGCGTTTCGAACAGCGTCACAGTTGCAAAAGAAAATCGCATGATATCTGAGTAAGTCCAGGTTTTACACGAATGCAAATGAGCTGTCGTCTCAAAAGCAACGCTTTGCACGGTCAAACCATGCTCCGAAACCATATTCACACATCGAAGAAACGAGCTGACGGCATTCGCAGGTGAAAAGATCTTTGACACAACCGATGAATTCGGTATTGTTGCGAACACCTGCGGTTCAAAATTTTGGCCAATATTTTTCATCTGTCCATTGTATGGAAGATGCAGCGATACAGTGAACGTTCGCCGTGACGGTTTACCTGGTTGAGCCAAATGCCCTTCGCGAGCAGGAGAAATGCAGAACCCATCTCTACGAGTCTCATCTGCTCGGCGAAAAAGTGAAATGGGTCCGATGGTGCCGAACATACAGGCTAACTGTACCCGTGCCAAAATTTCATAGTACCTATTTTTGGTTTGCCATGAGACACTGATCACAGAACCACCATCACGATGATAATCAAGAGGTATTGTTGCCACTACAAACAGAGGCTCTGGTAGAACACTTATCTTGATAGCACGACTCTTGGAATTTGCGCCAGCAGAATTCAATTGTACCGAGGACAAAAACCAAGGTGTGCTCGTGTCATAAGTAGCCCTCCCAGAATATCTAGAAGATTCGTTTTGAAAGGCTGGCAACTCGCAACTTGCAACTGCAGATGATATCACGCGTGCGGGAGTAAGAAAAGCTGGTAAGATTTCACTTGCTTCACTTACATTTCGGTATGTCTTCAATGGGGCATATCTGCAAAATAAGAAACTACCCGATCCCCTTCGAAAGCCACCATTGGAAACTCCCCGAGATGGGTTTGATACAGTATTCGGCTCGATGCTGGCTACTAACCAGATGGCCCCGCCACCAATGTCCCCGCAAATTGACCCTCCAACAGCTGAAATAATGAAAGAAGCAGCACTGTAGTCCGTTAACAAGGAATGCTGAATAGTACGAGTATTGAATCTACTGTTTTTGTTGCTGGCGACGTTGGGCAACATAACATTTGTCAACACGAACCCTCTTTCCATCACGGAGGTGGAACTGCCCAGAGGATATAATTTATATGAGACCAACCGCTCAAAAGAGAACACGGAGACATTGTAAGACATGACAAAATGTGGAGGAAGTGCACCCCACGTGATTTCAAAAAGTTGGGCCATGTGTTTAAGCTCAAACTCGAAGTTCAAAACATCAGTTTGACTGAAATAGCTCATAAAAAGTTGACTGTCAATAAACTCAAGTTCGCTCAGCAGCCTGTGCGTCGACAAAAGAGCAGACATGCTGATATGCCAACATGGTTCGCAGGACACAACAAATATACAACGATTCAGTAATACTGAAGAAATATGCACAAGGTGATGCACAGATCTCGACAAGTGATAAAATCCATGTCCAGATTCTTTATTTTGTTTAGCCGGAGAAATACAACTAGGACGAGGTGATGTCCTTGAGGACACAAATACAGTGTCGAACTTACATCGAATCTCTGAAACATGTGGGTTCCCGTGGCCCCCGCCCCGATAGTCTTTTACCAGAACATGGCTGATATTTGAGATCAAAACTGAACTCATATCAAACGTTGACCTGCCTTCTTCGATGTCCGTGGGCCGATGTTTCCGTCCAGAACTACCAGTGGGGAACCACTTTGAATCTGTGTCAACAGTGGGCAGAATGTATTGAAAACGGAAGGATGATGATACTTCGTAACCGGCGAGAGACACATCCACCAGTTGGTTTTGTGAGGTTATGGTGTGAGGAAGAGCAGCCGGTGCCTCACATACTGCCATTGTGGAAGAAATGACATAACCACTTATTATTGAGCTGGTGACACCGAACATGCACCTGGTGGCATCTCCCATGCGGGCTGCAGAAGCCCCCGAATCTCCACTGCGACTTGCAATATTACCGTGGGCGAGGCTACTAAAATGACTGCCACGAAGGGTAACCAGAGCACCGCCGGTGGTAAAACACGATGGTGGAACCAGTGATGAAATACTTGAAGCAGAGGTGAACAGGACTCGCCAACCAGAATTGCTGCTGACTAAAGTATCAGAATGATGCACCTCAACAGTCATAAATCCTGCCTGCGAGAGAATAGGTGCGAGACAGCGAACCGCATCTCCGTGTGTTCTTGGATCCCTGCTGTCGAAAAAGTTTGCATGTTTATATTTTTCTCCGAATTTGCAAAATGTGTTTAGCACTGAGGCATAGTCGCCACGCAAATCAACTCCGTCTAGGATAACCGAAGTGATGCCAGAAAGACCGACTTGGTATGGATCTATCATCCGTACCTGGGCTCTTGCTCTGAACACAAGTACAGAGAAGTGATCGATGTTTAAATAAGCTTTGCGAGAAGAAAAAAAAGAGCCTGGAACTGCTCTCCACTCGTTGGTCTGCTCGTCAGGCGTGCGTAAAATTATTTTCTCTTGATTTCCCATTCGAGTTGGCTGGTTTTTATCCAAAGTAACAATTACAATAACATGATTGATGAAACGTAGTCTGTGAGGTACGATTGAGAATCGTTTTTCTATCATATCCATTTTGACACAACTATATTCAGAATTATACTTGAGGCAGGTAACACCTGAGGGCTCGTGATACTCTGTCGCAACACTGACTACTGCAGGGCTCTCAAGAGCACCGGGACCAACAATCACAGTGCCTGTGTCTGATTCCCCGATGACAGCGCCATCGATGCTCACTACTTGCTGCTGTATGGACTTCACTGGAACAACAAAGTTCACTTGTGAAGTGCCAATAGTGAGCTCAAAGCCATGCCTGTCTCTCGTATTTGTTAAATTTGATTCCGTCTGGTTCAACAATATGACATTTGCTTCAGCAAGGCGAACTCGGAATGTTGCATAACCAAATATTTGGACAGATAACTGCCCTGAAAAAACGTGTCTATATCCCCGCCAGGTGGAATTTGCTGTTGGCAGTAAAATTGGAGGAAACGTTGAGTAACCTCCATACACTGCTGGTTCTGAGACGCTGATGACCCCATGCTTGTACCAATCTATTGCAGAGACATCGTTTACGACGGTAGCAAAATCCATTCGCACATGTCGACCCTCGATGCAAGAATTATCGTCAACAGTTGCAAAAGGGGAGTAATTCACGAACGTATCTTGGGTGCAGCCAGCTCCTGCAGGGCGAACAACCTCTATGTGCCGTCTTTCCTCGTCTTCACTCGTGTAGTTAAGGTACGTAAATGTCGTTCCCTGCCCAGGGGCATCTATCATAGTTGCAGCTAGTGCACCATTGAGCTCAACTGTGGATATTGTCATCAAAAGCAAAATAAATAATTACACCATCAGATGAAGGATGCAGATCGCTTCAGATATTTCCTACTTGAGTAAACTGCTTGAGGCCAGGTCACAAAGTTCAGTATATGCACGTCATCATCATCAAATCCACCTCGAACCAAATTAAAAGCCAGTTCATCACCATAAAACATGCCTGGTCCCTCAATCTGATATCTCCCCAAACCTGCAACTGACTTTATTTCAATTTGAACTTGTGTACCTGCGATGCAAGAATCATCATCGAAAAGAGCCCATGCGTCAAAATTCACGGATGATGAGTCCGTGCACCCATTTCAAAGGGACAAAAGTAACATTTTACTATTTTCAAAGGGGAATCGAAATAACCCGAAAAAAACGGACACCGAATTGCGAGATCAATAACGGAATGTCATGAAAAGGAATTTGATATTGGTTGAGATAAAAGGACCATGCCACCACCACTAAGCACTACGTTTTCTGCTCGTTCATCTTCAGCCGAATATCCTGTCCACGCAACATAGGTCCGGTTCACATTTCCATGGTGTTTATCACTATGGTCCTCATAAACTTCAACTTGTAGTGAACCTCTAAAGTGGAAGAAATATTCAGAAGAAGCATATGCACACATGATAACATGGTGGCTCTCTTCAGCATAGGATAGAGTACCATGTGCATGGGTGGTTTCGTTGTTAGGAGGACCGTTTACACTGTAATAGCCGTAGTTGTCAAGGCCTGTATCTTTCAAGTTATATGCAGCTTTGAATCCTGTATCTGAAAACATCTTCGGGTCAAAAGCGAGCAACCTGATATGAAGTTGTGACGGAAGTTCACGATTGACTCGACGCACGGCATGGTTACCAGTGTCCGCGACGTATGCAACTGCCCCACCTGAATTGGGCAATACCGCAACGCCGCTAGGGGTATCAAACATACATCCAGGCCCAAGCTCATCAACGTATCCAGAAGTCGAGTTATAAGAACCAGCATATGGAAATGTTGCCAAAGATTCACCTGGCGACCCTGTTACGTTCCCACCAATTATAATACGCCGAATGCGATGTGAGCGCACTTCGGTTACTAATAGGGCAGGGCGACCAGGAATTAATTCGCTACTACCCGAACCTCCCACATTCAATGGCTCCAGATAAAAAGCTATTCCGTAAGGCTGGTTGAAGCGTGCACCTAGTTGAGATCCCGGAAGAACTTCGCCCGAGTATGCACCATCCGAGTCCAATGTTCCGCCACCCTGTGGAGGTAATTCTGATCCAGCAATTGAAGTAACTGCCAGTGTTGTAAGCGTAACAGCTCTTATGCGGTTATTGCGACGGTCAGCTATGTACAGAACTGTCTCATCTGTGTTCAAAGTCATGTGACTTGGGGAGTTGAACCTGGCAGACAAACCACTTGAATCGGAAAAGCCAGCATGTCCGGCGCCATTTAAAACTGTTTCGACGACACCATTTGGACGTATAATGCGTATACGACTATCACCATCACTTACAAATAGATCTTTTGTCAGAGTACGAAACGCTAGCCCCAAGGGTTTGCTTATATATGCTTGAATTGCAACTTGAGCATCGCGATAGTCAGATATACCGGCACCAGCATAAGTTGTTACAACATCATTTTCTTCATTGATGAGGCGTATTCTATGATTGTTCGTATCAGCTACATACACCACACCAGAAGAAGTAACAACAACTGACTGTGGATTATTGAACTCAGCTTCTAGAAGACTGCCATCCAAAAATCCAGCTGTTCCTGAACCGGCCAATACTGTGACAACACCGCCAGATTTTATTTGCCTGATTCGATTATTCCCGGAATCTGCCACAAAGATTGCACCATTTCCATCGAGGGCAATTCCTGCAGGATACCGCATATATGTCAGTTGATTTCTGCCAACCTGTTGGAGGTTAGTATTGATACTTTAGTGAGACTCGATGTGAGCGACTGTCATGAGGAGCGTTCACCAAGGGAGAAAATGATCCAAACAGAGGACATCTGAATACTTACTCTGAAACCAGGAGTTCCCGATCCAGCGACGCTCGTGACATCTCCTGATAAAAGCAACGCGTGAAGACAACAGCTCGCGTCAGTGAATTTGTAAGTTTAGAAAGAAAGGATGAAACTGAGGTAAGTCATTGAGAAATCTCCGGTGAATAAACCTTGAGGTTGGCACTGGAGCACATAAGCAATGCATGTAGACACTCCTCGAGACAACATCAACGTGCAAGTGAACCACAGTGCCAGCGTTGTTTGACGTGGTAACATCATGGTGACGTATCGGACACTTATCAACTAAGTTCAGGAAGGCCTTCCAACAAGAAATTATACGCGCAGACCCTTGGACAGCGGATCGAAACGGACATTACAAGTGATGGGTAACACGATGATACAATACTGTGCCTAATACGTAGCAAGCCAGCCATGTCATAAAGTGGCGCAGAAAACAAGATATACTTCCGTAAGGAAGTAAAAGTTGTTTCAACTTACTTTGAAAGTACAGTACTGTACACGTACTTTCGTACGATTTGTACTTTCGTACTTTCGAAAGTACTTTCGTACTTTCGTACGAAAGTACTTTCGTACAAAGTACTTTCGTACTTCCGTACGTGTACGTGTACACGTGTACAGCTGTACAGTGTACACCGTATACGAGTATAAACAACTTATGGAATATCTACCGAAGGTATCTTGTATCTCCGAAGATATTCTATCTGCGTGCTCGTCGGGCCTACTGTACACAACTACACATAGGGTTTTTCACATACAGTATTGTATTTTATTTCCGGAAGTACGTGTACTGTACGTGTACAACTACATGTACCTTCGTACAACTTACAATAGATTGGACTTTCATAAACAACTTAGCCCTACAACTTTATTTATTAGAGTCGAAATTTTAGAAAGATAAATACAGTAGTGTACTCTACGTGTACGTGTACAAGTACCTAGCTAGGGCAGTCCTAGTAGGCAGGGCTACTATGGGCTATCAATTCGCAACATTGTACTCCTTCGTCAGTACAGAAGTACAGTACAGTACGTGTACAGTACAGACTTTCGTAACATGTCTCGCAATGAGCGATCGCGAGAAGACAAGGGCCAGGTTCGAGAAACAAATGCACTGGCATCGCGAGTGTGCAGAAAAGAACGAGTGGGATCTGTGCCAGGTCTGGGGTGTACTGATTCCAAGTGATCACTGGGAGTGTCGGTTTCCGTGAGTCACAAAGCAGGAATGAGACTGTGACGAAACTTGACAAGACAGTTCGGAAGCACAACGTTTTACATTCTGAAATACTACAGTACCGTACCTATCTAGCTAGATAGAATACCTAAAGAAATTGTAGCCATAGTGTTGCGACGCGTGCGTGGTATCGACGCTGTCGTAGATCGCGTACCCAACTAGGCAGGGTAATTCGTCATAGCGAGAGTGGTTCTAGGACTACTCGATTAGCCGAGGCTGATCGAGGTCGCGATCCAGACAAATAGGACCGCTCCGTCGTTGTAACAAACAGTTTTCCTTCGCACCTTCCTGTCTCACGCCGCCTGCTGTACGCCGCCGTGTGAGCTGGGATCGCAAGGAACTACGCGCTCTACGCTCTTGCTTCATCACACTCCCAGCACTCCCTCTGCATCACCTCTTGATGCACTCTGGAGTGTCCCAGCACCCTTTCAGAGTCTCTCTGATATTCTCGACTCCTTTCGACACTTCCCAGGAGTCTTATCCTCACGCGACGTCTCGGCGCTCAGTGGCTCCGCAGTCGACCGCATAAAGATCTTCAGGCTCGACAGGACGAGTCACAACACATAGATTGATGTGCTGTACGTGCACTGTACGTGTACAGCTGTACACGTACACGTAGTCCTCTACGTAATTCTAAGAAAACCACCTAAAAAACGTACTCGTGACTAAAAGCACGCGAAAACAATTACGCGCGAGCACCCGCGCGCGAAACCTGTCTCCTCCGCGCGCGATGTACGTCTGCGCGCGAAACTTTGCACGATTACAGTTATAAGGCATGCGCACAATGCTACGCCGGGATTTTTTGACTTTCGCGCGCGTCGCGAAGAAATCGTAGATCTTGCCCGAAATCGCGATTCGCGACGTTCGCGTACCCCTCTCGCGGCAGAGAGCATGAACGCAAAATCCCCGGCGTAGGAAGTTCGGCGTTGATGCCTGGAACGCGATGGTGCAAAAGACAAATCCGTCGCGATCGCATTCGAGGAAGGAGATAGGTTTCGCGCGCGGGTGCCCGTGCGTACACTTTTGTACCTTCGTACGTGTTTTTAACACGAGAACGTTTTTTAGCTGGTTTTTTTCGAATTACGTACAGTAGTTGTACAGTACTGTAGAGGACTGACTACCTTGAAAGAGGGCTCTATCTACGCGTACACGTACTGTACGTGTACACGTGTAGATAGCTAGAGATAAAGTGCTCTATCTAGCAGCTAGATACCAAGGTACTTTCGTACTTTCGTACGAAAGTACTTTCGTACGAAAGTACTTCCGTACTTCCGTATCTATTTCCATATTGTTGTTATTAGCCCTACGTGTACGTGTACTGTAGTACACGTAAGTTGTTACTCGTGCGTGTAGGGATCGATAATATCCACGGAAGAACGGAGTACGGAAGTACGTGTACTGTACACGTACCGGAAGTACTTTCGTACTTTCGTACATAAAATAGTCTAGAAAAGTAGCCTACCTCGACACAGGTACTTGTGCAACTGTGTTGATCGCAGCACAGAGAAATATGAAGCGTTCAGCAGCTTCTGCGGTTGCTCAGAAAGCATCAGCTGATGATGCACTCCGTAAACAAGATGCCTTGACATATCTCAGGGAACTGAAAGAAAGACTGAAGGACAGGAAGGACACCTACGACGAATTTCTTGAGATCATGAAAGAATTCAAGTCACAGAGGTAGGTATATAGGTATCGAGAAAATATCGAACTTTCAAAATATTAGAATGTCACCGCGAGTTTCTTAGTCACGATGAATTTCGCATGCCCCCCCCCCTTTCGACCCCATCAATGAATACAGAATCGATACCGAAGGCGTAATAAAACGCGTCAAAACAATTTTCAAGGGACACAGAGATCTAATTCTTGGTTTCAACCAGTTTTTGCCAAAGGTACGTGAAATCTACTGCCCGGAAAATTCCATCTACGCCTTCTCTGAGGTCTGATAGCAATTAAGCGAGTTCTGGTGGTTTTCACCAAAGTGTGCAACCCTTCTATCTTCTGAAGACTTTTTTTTGCCGAGACGAGGTTTTAGAGCCAAGCTTTTTCACTATACCATACCCAGAAACCCCATGTGTATCACGTATTCTTCTCTTATTCGCAAATATCCGTTACAGGGACACGAGATCCGTATCGAAGATGTAGAACGTGAGGAACGCGAGGAAGTGGTATGAAGTGCAGCTCACCTTTCTCTAATAGCGAGTTCAAGTTCTCTATCATACTGACTTGAAGTTCACACTCTCTACAGGAGCGTGTTAAGGCTGAAACTAATGGTACTCAATCTGCCAGACCTCAAGTTGAATTTGTCCATGCAATAAGCTATGTTAACAAGATAAAGACCCGTTTTGCTAACGATGAGCGTGTTTACAAAGCTTTTCTTGAGATCTTGAATATGTACCGCAAGAACTTGAAAAGTATCAGTCAGGTGTATGACGAGGTTGCAGCCTTATTTAAATCTCACACTGATTTGCTGGAGGAATTCACGTACTTTCTCCCTGATGTTGACAATCCCGCTGCCAGAAAGAAAACAGGGTTAACTAAAGGGTTTCGAGGCAAAGGAGGCCAACAAGGCACGCTTAAGAAAAAAGTCAAAGGCGAGCAAAACGAGAATTCCTTTGATGCCCCATTCGGATCCGGAATAGACCGATACAACACGGCCGCGTCACTTGCGAAGGAACTAGCTTTCTTCGAAAAAGTGAAAACACGTCTGCGAAGCCGTGAATCATACGGTGAGCTTATAAAATGCTTAAATATTTTTAACTCCGAGGTGATTTCCAAGATGGAACTGGAAGCACTAGTCTGGGACATCCTGGGCTCTTACCCTGATCTTCATTCTGGCTTCAATGATTTCTTGACAAGATGCGAAAGCACAGATTTTGACCTGAGTGAGAGTGTCAGGGGTAAGGATGGCAAGCTGGGCAATTCGAAAGATACGCAGAAGATCAGTGCAAGGGAAAAATTTCTTTTGCGTCCGATCTCTGAGCTTGACCTTTCTGCTTGTGAGCGATGTGGGCCATCATATCGTCTTTTGCCCAAGAATTTTCCGAAGGCTTCTGCATCTGCTCGCAGTCCTCTCTGCCAAGAACATTTAAATGATAATTGGGTCAGTGTCACATCGGGTTCTGAGGACTACAGTTTCAAGGCCATGCGTAAAAACCAGTATGAAGAGGCACTTTTCCGATGCGAGGATGATAGATTCGAACTTGACATGGTCTTGGAAACTACGGAAGTGACTGTGGATGCACTTCAAGCCATCTTTGAAAAAATTAATCGCATGACTGCTGAGGAAGCGTCCCACTACCGCATACCAGAGGGGTTCTTGACGCCAATTCACCTTCGTACCATTGAGCGTGTCTACGGCATCGGCACCGACCACGGACAAGACATTCGTCGAATGATTCTTGACTATCCCGTGGTCACTATCCCTATGGTGTTGAGTCGTTTGAAGCAGAAGGATTTGGAATGGAGAAAAGTTAAGGAAGAGGTGACCCCTATTTGGGTTGACGTGTATGAGAAGAACTATAACAAATCTCTGGACCACCGTTCCTTCTATTTTAAACAAACTGACAAGAAGGCTCTCAGCGTCAAGGGCATGACGAATGAAATTAAGGAGGTTAGTGATAAACGGAAAAATAGCGATGATCATGGCAACATTAGAGAGCTGAGAGGCCACGCTCTGTCTCCTGATCTTACTTTTCACTATGCTGACCGCAAAGTCCACGACGATATTTACGCCGTGCTCAAGTTCAGCACGAATGAGATGATGAGCACTGAACATGCGGATCGAATCATGAAAATGTGGCGCGATTTCATTGAACCTTTTTTCGGAATAAATCGTGTCGATGGAGAGTACTTTGATGACTCAGCTGAGCAAGCTTCAATATTTGTTAGCAAATTTAATGGAGAGGATGTCGAGTGCAGCGAGGAGAATGACCAGGCTGAGGAAGAGAATCCCGAAAACGTTACGAACCACACTGGATTAAATGAGATATTGTCTAATTTCCCCGATGTAGATGCTGATGTCAAGCCAGGGGATCCGCAGTTTGTCGTTTTTGCAAAAGAGGCAGAATTTCAAATTCTAAGTGATGACCGTACAGGGGAGCGAGACTTGTCTGACCGCACTCTCAGCAAAGACATGCCAGTCGCACAGGACATTTCCGAGGCTGGCGATGGGTTTGAAATGAGCAATGATGGAGAGGAACGGATATATGCTGCATGCAAGCCGCTCGCTTGCAGCGCACAAGTCACAAGTGCAGAGTCTGTTGGCAGTGACACATATGTTGACTCTTTTGCTAAGCTAAGCGACAGATTATTTTACGGGCACGATGGCTACTATATGTTATTCAGATTGCACCAGCATCTCTATGATCGCCTCTCCACTGCCCGCGCATCTGCTGTGAGCATGTCCACACACTTTGGGCAGAAAGTTGGCCCTGAAGAGGAGCGTGCTGCCAAAGAGCGTGAAATCCATGATGACTTCCTGCGCCTGTTATTTAAGCTGCTGAATGGTACAGCCGACGCTTCGAATTTCGAAGATGACTGCCGCACTCTCCTTGGTGCGAACTCCTATGTCTTATTTACCCTTGATAAACTTGTATACAAGATAGTCAAGCAGGTCCAAAATCTCTTCACTGATGAGATGGCTTCAAAGCTTCTCGATTTATCTGAATATGAAAGTGCGCGGAGCACTCCGTTTATCGAAGCTATCTACCATGCTAACGCCAGTGTACTGTTGCTTGATGAAGCGTGTTTCCGTATCGGCTCATCGAAAGATGGGGAAGTACTCACCATTAAATTAATGGAATTCGGCTTGGAAAAGGCAGAAGTTCCAGCAGGGACGATGGAAGCACACTTCCACGAGTATCTCGAAGACTTCTTGCAGACTATCGTGGTTGCCGGAGAGGGTAATACGACTAACCGACTGAGGCTAGATCGCACGGAACAACCAGATATATTTCTTGCACGAAGTAAAGTAGCAGCAGGACACGATTTGGATGGCCACACTTCCCATGGTCCTGCGAAAGAACGTCCATATCGAGTCAGTGTGTTCAATTCGCTGGAGTGCAAAATCGCCTGTAACAACTCTAAAGTATCGTACGTCCTTGACACTGAGGA